GATTGTCAACTTCCCTATTTTTCTGCCTTGGGTAAAGCACATAGGGATTATTACCATCTCTTTCTCCTTTGAATTTTGTACTGCATGGATTTTCTGCTGCTAAAAGTATTACTTTTGGCTTTAAAGGCATCAAAAAAATTTCGTCGTTGAGAAGGTCTCCTGGTATTTCCTGTATTACATATACCTTTTTGCATTACTTGAAAAATAATTTCCCTGGTAAGGGGAGTTTAATGCGTTCAACAACTGGTAAAATGGCCCCAAATACTTCAGTTTTTCCAACTCTAGCTGGTGGTGATGCATCTCGCAATGGAAGCTCTATTATTTAAAGGTGAGCACGGCTAATTAGGCATAGTGCCTGTCTGCCGTGCCAATAGGATTAGATTATGACAAACTTTCTTATAGTATATGATCTATAAACTAGTAGATCCTTTATGGAGAATGCATAATGGAAAGAGGTTTTGACTTTTTTTCTGCAATATGACTTCTTGTTTGTGTGATTTTCTGTGTTTTGCAGGTCCGATTGATTACAGACAAGGTGACAGGTAAACCTAAAGGCTATGCTTTCATTGAGTACATGCACAAAAGAGATATGAAAGGTTTGTCTCAATCAATTCGAATTTTGAACCCTTTCTATTTGATTATATTCTCCTTTTGAAACTGTTTAATTTACTTACCTCCATCTGAAATTATTCAGCTGCATATAAACAAGCTGATGGTAGGAAGATTGATGGTAGAAGGGTACTAGTGGATGTTGAGCGAGGTAGAACTGTACCAAATTGGCGTCCTCGTCGGCTGGGTGGTGGTCTTGGAACCACCAGAGTGGGAGGTGAAGAAAATAGCCAGAGGCATGCTGGAAGGTAATTAATATGATTTCAACAACTTCTGCTCTTTCAAGCGCATGCCTTTGAGAAATATTGATGATTATTGTACTATTGAACAGCACTGTTGAAAATGATTCTCGATCTGATGTTTTTGTGCCCTAGGAAGATATTTTTGTTGATTGCTGAAAAGTTATAAAAATGAGACTGAATTTAATGTATTATTTTCCATGCTGAAAGCATTTATAATTTGTTCAGGGAGCAACAGCAATCTGGAGCACCATCTCGATCAGAGGAGCCTAGGGCTCGTGAAGATCGCCATGGAGAGCGGTATGATGATGTTCCATACCTTGTTCCTTCTAGATCAACATTTTTTGTCAACATTTTATGCTTCTTTCAAGTAATAATTTCAGCATTTAAACATAACTTCAATTTATTGTTAATTTTATGATACCATGTAAAATTAGGCTTCAATTTAATGTTTTCAGAGATAGGGAAAAGTCTTATGAAAAAGGAAGAGACAGAGAAAGAGAGAGAGAGAAGTCTCGGGAACGTTCCCATGATAGATCTAAGGATCATGATCTCAGAGAAGACCGACATCACAGAGATCGTGATAGGACAAGAGATAGGGATAGGGATAGAGAAAAGGAAAGGGAAAGAGAGAGAGAGCGTGGGCATGACCGTGATAGAACACGTGATCGTGATCGAGGAAGGGATCGAGGTCGTGATTATGAGCGGGACAGAGATCGTGATCGGGATCGTCATCGGGACAGAGATAGGGAGAGGGATCGGGATCACGGAGGGGGATATGCAGACCCTGATCGTGGTCGCTCCCATGATAGGGAATCTGATTATGATCGGGTAGATTCGAAATATGAAAAGGACAGACATGGTGATAGGGACAAAGATATTGATCCTGGTGAAACTGAGGATGGTCATGGGTGGTATGATCAGCCTGTGCATGGGCACAGACACCCACCAGATACTGATCATGATCCCCAATACTATGATCACTTCGAACACAACCGAAGTCGAGAGCAATATGATCACCCCGAACATCATGGCCAAGATCGTTATGATCAGTATGATAGAATGGAGGATGATTACCGTTACGAACGTGGCACTTCTGAAACACGTGATAGAGAGAGGTCGCGTGATTTGAATCATGAATATAGACGTGCAGATAGATCTCACTCAAGAGAGTTTTAGTTTCTCATGATGCAGTGTGATCTGATGATGGTAAAGTATCTGCTCACTTTCTTCCCTTTTCTTTATATAATTTAGAAGCCATCCCTTCTCCCATGTGAATGTTGTTTTCCAGGTTATGATGATAGATACCAAATTTCATGATAATATCATGTAGGTGCTGTGATGATCGGTGTTGGAATTGTCTTCTTTTGTTAATTGGCCTCAAGTTGCCCAAACGTCGTTGCATATGCTTGGTGCTGTATGTTCTGTTCTTCGGAGTGTTTCAGTTTCAGCCATGTTATGCAGATTTTTGCACAGTTTATGTATGTGCTAAAACTCCTGGACTTACTATGTATTACTTTGTAGCCATGCTATTTAAGCTGATATAGAACGTTTTGAATGCTTGATCCGATTAGTGTCCTTTTGGTGGGAACAAGGTCAAATGCAGTGGATGCGTGTAGGTTTGTTTGCTATTGATAGTGTTTAGGAGTAAACTGAAGCTGTTAAAATGAAACTTGGTCGTGGTGGTTGTCACTGTCTTGGGGATTATTATTATTACTATATTTTCGTTTTTTTAACATGATTATTTTGATTGTCCCAACCCCTCTTGAGTTCATCGGCAAAATAACAAAAACAATGTCCACTCCAGAGAGCTTCTCTTGTCCCAACTTATCAATCGGATTTTGTGATGTCGTATTTAATTACACTGTAACGACGACTTGCAACTAGCAGATATTGTCTTCTTTTGACTTTTCCTTTTGAGCTTCTCCTTAAGGTTTTTCTCTGGTTGTTACATAAACTTTAGTTTGTTGTAATTTAGTTTCCTTCCTTTAGAGTTTGTTGTAATTTAGTTTCCTTCCTTTAGAGTTTATGGAGTATGATTCGGTCGAGGTGAGATTTTTTTAAATCAAGTTGAGCCATCTACGAACACTAAATTATTACCTTAATTAAACCCTAAACCAATCTCTTCCTCTAAAGTTTATGGAGCATGATTCGGTCGAGGTGAGATTTTTTAAAATCAAATTGAGCCATCTACGAACACTAAATTATTACCTTAATTAAATCCTAAACCAATCACTAAATGTCATATTTTAGTAACAAATGCTTAAGTAACAAATGCTTAAGTTTAGGCTAAATTGTTCCCTTAATTAAACAAAAACAAATCACTAAATGTTATAATTTATTAATTAAACCCTAAACCAATCACTAAATGTCATATTTTAGTAACAAATGCTTAAGTTTAGGCTAAATTGTTAGCTTAATTAAACAAAAACAAATCACTAAATCACTAAATGTTATAATTTATTAATTAAACCCTAAACCAATCACTAAATGTCATATTTTAGTAACAAATGCTTAAGTTTAGGCTAAATTGTTACCTTAATTAAACAAAAACAAATCACTAAATGTTATAATTTTGGGACCAAGTAATAAATAAGTTTAGGCTACATTATTTCAGTTTGGAAAGTTCTCAAAAGCGTAGGAAAAAAGAAAAAAAAGAAAAATAGTTCCGTTGCCGGGAATCGAACCCGGGTCTCCTGGGTGAAAGCCAGATATCCTAACCGCTGGACGACAACGGATTTTTGACAATATGTTGTACTATTTTTAAAGTATATTATGAAGTATAATTCTCTATTTTTTTTTTAAAAAAAAAAATTAAAACTTTTCTAAACTCTCTTAAATTTACCACAACTTTAAAAATATATATTTTTAAGTTAGTCTAAAAAATTACGCATTAATCACCTCCTTTGTGAATAAAAAATTATTTAAATTTCTTTTGAGTTAATCATTTTTTTAAGTTTTATTTCTTTTTAATACGAATCTTCCGATGAAATCCCTTAATTTGAAATTATTTTGAAAAAATATTTCTTGGTTTTATGTTTTTATACCTTTTTGAATAAGAAAAAGACAAAAAAAGAAGCTTCCTCATTATTTATTTAACTGCTTTCGTTGATACTTGGTTGAGTTCAATACAATACAGCAGAACCAGTTTATGGAGTTAAATTAAACACACACTTAAATTAAATGGATAACAATCATTCACAAAAATATTACCATACCAAAAATTAAATTGAAATTAAACCAAGAAGGGTAAAATTGGTAGCTCACCAGTAATTTATTTAATATAATTTTTCAATACAATAATTGTACTAATTATTTTATGACCCTAAACAGGCTATCTGCATTCAAACTTACACTGCTTTCTGCACCATCCAATTCTAAATACGTCCCGATAAATCGATCCGAAAATAAATAAATAAAAAACAAAAAAGAAAAGAAAAGGCCAATTACAGTCCTGTCCTTTTCACCTCGTTGCAACCACAAACATCGCTATTCTTGGACACCAAATCCGCACACTACCAACATATATGTCGTGTCCCAATTCGGTCATTTTCTTTTTTTCTTTCTTTTTTAGTTATTATTTTCCGCCAATATAATAATACTCCAAAAATCAGTACCTGAACAAGAAAAAGGGAAAAAAAAAATGCTAAATTTATTTTGTTCTTATTCAAGAATATTAATTTCAACAAATTTATTGATTTTCACTCCAAATAAAACTAAATTATTTAATTATGAAGCCTATCTTATAATTTTCAGTCAAAAAGATGGAGGCTAAATAGATTATTTAATATAAAATAAAAATGAGTTAATTTCAATGGAAATTAATAGGTGTGATATTTTTTAACTGACAAAAATAACCCTGCCATGCACTCTTTCAGTATTTGGACGGACACGATCTTCTCCCCATATACATCATCCGACGGCGCTCTCGAGGCAGAGTCTCCTCTTTGAATTGACGCGTCACTCTAAACTTGCTCTCTGGTCCCCACTTCTTCTTGTCAGCTTCCCCGGATTGAGCGGGTGCCAGTCCACCTCCTCCTCCACGTGGATGCCCATTATCCGGTTTCCTCAGATCCCCACTGGACCCCACATGCCACGTCCTCCCCCATTCAACTCTTCTGACTATTTCCTTTAAATGTAAATTTCCCACCCCCCCTAAGCTGAGTGGGACCACCCTCTTCTCTCCACTAGCTCCCTCGAGGGAACGCTTATCTCTCTCTCTCTCTCACACTCTCACTCTGTTCTCTCTGGTTAAAAAGCTTCACCGACGACCTTGCCGCCGTGATCAGCTAACTTCCGGCGGCGTCTCTTTCTGTATGTGTTCTTTCACTTGCCATCGTTTCTGGGATTTTGAGTTTTACTTGTTTTAAATTTTTTTGTTGCATGTTTGTGACTAGAGATTTTTTAATTGGGTGGAGAATGGCGAATATGTGTGCCGACAGTGGCAATCTAATGGCGATTGCTCAGCAAGTTATGAAGCAGAAGCAGCAACAGGAGCAGCAGCAGCCTCCACAAGAGCCGCCGCCGCAGCAGCTCACTAGCCCTTCCACTTTTACTCTGAACCCATGGAGTGGCTCGAACCATGGTCTATCCAGTCCGGATTTGGGGTTTGGGCTTGCCGGAGCTGGATTTTCCGATCCGTTTCAGGTGCAGAGAGTGGTCGACGGTGGAGAAACGAGCTTTCAGTTTCCGAACTTAGAGCACCATTCTTCTTCTTTCAGATATCCCGATTTCGACGGCGGCGCTGCTGCAGATTTCGATTCCGATGAGTGGATGGAGAGTCTAATGGCTGGTGGAGATTCAACGGATAGCTCTAATCTTCCTTCTGGTTGCGACGCGTGGCAGGCTAATTCGGATATTGCTCTCTACGGTGATGATCCCTTTGTCCCCTGTCCCAGTCGCCTCACTATCCCCTGTTCTTCACCCTCCGATCTCAACAGAGTCATTTTCCCGGAACCTCCGAAAAATCAAGCCGCCATTCAACCGCCTGTGGTTTCATGGACCGGGCTTACTCCCAAGACTCCACCGGTGGTGGTTAAGGACACTAACGGCTGTTCGTCGAGTTCTGCAGAGAACGAACCGACAACGCCACTTCTGAAAACCCTAATTGAATGTGCTAGACTTTCCGAATCGGAACCAAATCGGGCGGCGCAAATATTTATCCAGCTTAAGGAATCGTCATCGGAGCATGGAGATCCGACGGAGAGAGTCGCTTTTTACTTCCTCGAAGCTCTGTACAGGAGATTATCACTTCAAACGGAGAATCGTTTGGTTTGTTCGGAATCCACTTCAGATGATTTCACCATATCTTACAAAGCTCTCAACGACGCCTGCCCGTACTCTAAATTTGCCCATTTGACTGCGAATCAAGCGATACTCGAAATGACAGAGAACGCGAGCAAGATTCACATAATCGACTTTGGAATTTCTCAGGGAGTTCAATGGGCGGCGCTTCTTCAAGCTCTCGCAACCCGCTCCTCTGGAAAACCAACCGGAATCCGGATCTCCGGCATTCCAGCTCCAATGCTCGGAAACTGCCCAGCCACAGCGCTGTTCGCGACGGGTAATCGACTGGCCGAGTTTGCCAAGCTTCTAGAACTGAACTTCGAATTTGACCGAATCCTCACCCCAATCGAAGAGCTGAAAGAATCCTCGTTCCGAATCGAGTCGGACGAAACCCTCGCCGTGAATTTCATGCTTCAACTGTACAATCTGCTCGACGAAACTCCTCGCCTCGTTCTGAACGTTTTGCGACTCGCTAAATCACTGAGCCCTAGAATCGTAACCCTAGGCGAATACGAAGCCAGCCTGAATCGGGTCGGGTTCTTTAACCGGTTCAAGAACGCAGTCCGATACTACTCAGCCGTGTTCGAATCACTGGACCCAAAATTACCTCGCAACTCAAACGAAAGGCTGCAACTGGAAAAGCTCGTACTCGGGCGGCAGATCGGCGACATTGTCGGACCAGAGTCGTCGCCGGGAGCCAAAATCGAACGGATGGAAGACAAAGAACAGTGGAAAATGATGATGGAAAATTGCGGGTTTGAAGCGGTAAATCTCAGCCATTACGCGAAAAGTCAAGCTCAAATCCTTTTATGGAAGTATGATTACAGCTGTGAGTATTCTTTGATCGAATCCTCGCCGGGATTTCTCTCGTTGGCCTGGAATCAAGTCCCGATCATTACAGTTTCTTCCTGGCGTTGAAACGAAACCAGGTAACTTGTTTATTACATAATTATGAACTATAATAACAATTATTATTTATTTTTGTGTTCTGTAAAAAGATATCTCTAATCAAGATTTAAAAATCACATAGCGCCCATTGATGGATCTAATTTGAGAGCTCGATGTGATGTTGATAAAAGAGACTGAACCTAGTCTTCTGTTTTTGTGAATTTCAAGAACACAAGCTGGTGGGTTGCGCTGTCAATCAAGACACGCAGTTCTAGATCTTTTTGTTTTGACTGAAACCTGAAAAATCTGATTCCATTTCTGATAAAGTAACCAACCCTCTTCAAAAGAGTGTAGAGGGTAGATTCCTTCTCTAGAGCTCTCGAACAAAGTACATTATATATAGAGTTTTCAGACCATCTCTCCGTAATTGAGTATCTACTCCTTCTTTGGAGAGTCTTCCCTGAGACTTATAAAGTCCTCGAGCAACCTTTCACTAATCGAGGTTCGACTCTTTCTTTAGAGCCCTCGAACAAATTACAACAGAGAGTCTTCCCTTATACCTATGATGCCCTCGAACAACCTCTCATTAATTGAGACTCGACTCCTTCTCTAAAAGTACTCGAAAAAAGTAAGCTATTTATTTGAGATTTGGGTCCATTCACAACTATACCATGATGGTACTTTTGGTTTTTCTAAGACTAGTAATATATTTTTTACATTTTTCCTTAATTGAGCTATTATATTCCACCCTTCAAATAAAATTATAAAACATTCATGAATATATCGGCGGCAGGATTACGTGTCCAGTTTGACGGTGTCAACGCCACGTAAGATTTCATCTCTCTGAAGCTCACACACGTGTCATGCTATAAAGTTGGGGAAATTCTGTAGTCGTACCGCCGCACCGGGGCCGTAGAAGCTCACCTGAGCTCCGATACCCGGCAAGGAGATTATCTTTTTTAATTTTTATCTGAAGTATATTATTTTAAAAATAGAAAAAATATATTTGAGAATATATATATATATATTATATATTTGACACAAAAATTATTTTATTTTATAAAAAAATGGTAACTAAATAAAAAATTTAAATGAAAATATATTTAAAGATTTTCGTAGCCATTTATCTCCGTATATATGAGGAATATTACGGAAAACTATTTCGGATAATCATTAACCGTTGATCACGTGGCAAGCATAACGTAGTTGCTTGGAATCAACGCGATTTTAGACAAACGGAGCCCCAGCCTCTTCACGTTTTCTACGTGCCCAACCGTCTTACGAATTCACAGCCGTTGATATCTACCGGTATCGCTAAATCCTAACGGTTCATTTGACCCAGCCCCCCCTCCCTATATACAGAATTAGCCATTAGAGCTCATTCCCGCCATTCCCGTCCCAAATATATTACCTTGTTTCTCAATCGGCACTAATTTTCGGTCTTCTTGGCGGGGGACGATTTTAGAAGTTTTGATAGTGAGTGTTGATCTGCTGTTCTTTTACGATCACCGTCGTCCTCAATTCTTGGAGATCCAATTTCAGGTTTGGTTCGTATAATGTTCCAGATGTAGTTGTCTTTAAGTTGTCTGCCGCTTTTCAGTCTGATTGGAGATCTCTTTTCACGGTGTGCAATCATGTTTATCTTGCGGCGAAAATCTCTTCGATCGCGGTCGCGGTCGTGGTTTTAACGTCTTTCACAAGAAAACAGGGTTCTCGCCGGATTTTTCAGGTCTTCTGCAATTGAATTGCCGGTCTAAATGGATTCTCAATACAAGGACGATTGGAAAGGTTCTATACTGTTCGCGAGGTGGAGAAACGACTCCGTTTCAACAATTTCTCGGGTTGCTACAACCGTAAGAAATTCTTGGCAGTTAACATTTAGTTTCATCCAAGGAAGGTTGATTTGATTAGCGTGTTATGATGGATGTATAAGATATCAGGCCGCAGTACCCCTATACTTTTAGGTTGACTGTTTCTGATCGATCTTTGTCGTCCGACCTTTGCCATGGCAGGTGAGCTTGCATGGCAGGTCAACTACGTTAATGAATTTTTTTTTTTTGTGTGTTTTGAGGGGGAATCGCACGGGAATTGCCCGGGGTCCCTCCTCGCTGAACTGTGCCGATTCCTCTCTTTCTTTATCTTTCTCATATTATGCCTTGCTGACCGCAACTGTTTGCAATCCTGAGAGATCGCTTGCTTCCCGCTCATGCAGTACATGAATAACTTTGACTAATCTTCCGAAAGTAGGCGAGCATATAATTTTAATTTGAGCCAAGTATTGCCCATTCAGAATATTGCTCAATTTAATATTTAAGTAGAATTATCATTCGTATGCCACGACAAAGATATCCATTTTTTCACCCCTTCTGATAAAAATCCCTATACATAGATTAAACGAGTATTTCATAGCTTTATTTATCTTTACGGGCAGATGCTTGTGCATGCACGGAAAACCATTAATTTGTCTATTAAGCGGCACCAAATTGGTCTTGCTGTATATTATGTTCATATTATGTCTACTTTTGATGGCCTAAGTTTGTATATTCCCTTCATTTTATTACTGCTTCATTGTAAATCACCATCTAGTAATGGAGAGGCGCATGGAGAACTCATTTTGGATCGGGCCAAGCGTCTCAATGCTGATATGATCTTCGCTATGCTGAGCTGTCGGATCTGCTGGTTATGTTGATGCCTGAAATGCCCAAGTGGAACAGTCTCGGTAACTGAATTTTTTAGATTGTCATTTAATTAAGCAGGAAATGCCCCAAGTTTTTAAGGCTTTTGCCCTTCATTTATCTCCTTCCATTTAACATATGTTCTTTCTTTTTTGTTTAAACGATGAAGGAAATTCAAGATTTGATTTCGTCCGATGTTGTTAGTCAACTTAATGTTATGTTTTTCTTTTACACGAGTTTATACATTATATTGTGGTAGTCTGTAATTTAAGAGTACCTTGTTACTCTCGTTCAAGGAAAAGATAATATCATCTAACCAACGTCGTTGTGCTTTTCTGAACTTGCTTAATTACGGACAATAATGGAATCAATGTTTATGAAACTTGTAAATAAAAATATACCGTTGATTATTACGCTCTTGAATGGTTAGGATATTCACTTGGTTGCAATAAGAATCAACTCTTTCCCTCGAATAATTTTCTATTGTGGGTTCAGTTCTGTTAACATTTTTGTTGTTTATGATGTGAAAGCCCTGCTTATTGCTGCAATCTTCAATCCATTAATGTTGGATCTGTTTTTTCTTCTTATATTCATCTATTGGTGTTATCAGATTGTCCTGTTCGAGCTCCTTTCCTTCAATACCCGTCAGTACTCCTGCAACTCAGTCTTAAGGTTAGAAGATGCTTATTGGTTTGCTAAAGTTAGTTGATTAAATGTATTATTATTATTTTCTTTTTGTTGCTTATGGACTTAAACCGAGAAATGTTTGTGTTTCCGTGATTTGATTGTTGAGATTCTATCAGTGGCGGCTTTTGCGACAGGAAGATACGAGATGGGTATTTGATCATACCATCCGTAGGGGGATGTCTTTGTTATGCATCATCTATATTGGATTCATGATTTGATATGGTTGTGGTTGTAGAGACAGTTTGGGAGAGACCTGTAGCTTAAAGGTGGTAGAGCGCTCAAGGCCAAAATGGTTGGTTTTTCGGAGGTTGGTGGTTCGAATCCATCCGGATCTGACTGGTTATGTTTTAGGCTGATGCTTGTTTAGATGTCGAACTTCCATCCCCTCGCTGCAGTTGCTGCCATGCCCTTTTTCCCACCATTCTCACTTTGCCTTCTGTAAGTAATTTCGTTCGTTCCTCATCCATTGAGTTATAAAATGTGCTATGGTGCCAAGCTGTGTCGTGCTGAATTGTTGGTCTAGATTTATACTAATTGAACATATTTACTATTAAAATTTTCATAAGCTTATTAGATCCATCAGCAGAGGCTCCTGCTGAAAGTTCTCAATCTCGCTTCTAAATTAGCTTGAACCAATGGGCAGAGAACAATGAGAGTAGTTCAGAGTTCAATTTGATTAACAGAACAAAATTGAACTGTCTCTTTTACAAATGTTAATTTCTGTAAGAGAGCTAGAAGAAGGCAAATAAAAAGATTCACGATGATGAATATAAAGATCGATATTCAACCTCTCTTTGATGAAACAATGGCCGGTTTCTTACTTTGCTTCGCTGCAAAACGGTATACAACAACTCCAATTCTTGATCCCGGCGCCGGAGGATCTGTATGTACAACATGCACTTCAAAAAACTGTCTGGCTTTCTTGAAGAAGGCCGAGTCCTTCTTCCACCGCCGTAAATGAGCCATCACCAACACCATTTTGGGGTTTCCTCCGTCTAAGAGAAAGCTCCTCAACGTTTGGAGGAGAGGATCGTACAAATGGTCATGGTATACAACATCGGAAGCCAGGATGAGATCAAATTCTTGCCCAATCAGCTCGGGGTCGATGGCTTCTCCCCAATGCAGCGACGCCGCCATTACGCAACCGCCGTTCGCAGCCACTACGTCGGCGTTAGCTTCGATGTTGAATTGAAGGTTGGAGATCACATGCGAGAGATCGGTTGTTGTCACTTTTGCTCCGAGTGTAGCGGCTGCGGCGATTCCGACTAAACCGGTTCCGGAGCCGATCTCGAGAATGTTCAGAGTTCGACATTCTGAACCGTCGCGTAAGGCAGTGAGAGTGGGAGTAAGAGGGTTGGTTTCAGGATGAGAGCGTTGCTTGTCGAGAAGGTTGACGAGGGTGGTCGCCGCCGGCCAGAGCTGGAACGAGAGACCTTGGGAACGTAGCTGCCTGATCGATAGTGATGAGTTGATTGAACAGATGAAATGGCGCTGCAATTCAGATGTTAAATCGTCATGTATAACAGATAATTTGTTTATATCAGCCTCCTCCTCGGGAAGGATCACAGTGACGGGGCTTATGTCGTTGTCGTCGCCGCCGTCGAGTTCCGAAGACATGATACTGAAGCTCTTGTTTGCGCCTCATCCCCCCAACATTTTTGCATCCGCCTTGAAGAATTCGTTAGGGCAATTTTCAGTGGCCCAAGAACACAACTGGATCTTTTTCGGCTTTGAGGCCCAGGCCCAACCATTGAAATTTTAACTTCGGCCATCTTTCTTCGCGGGAAAGTTTCCTTTGTGGCCTGTGACATTGCATACGCAGATTCCAGAAGACTATCGACGCGACAATTTCTTAGATCCAGACGGTATAAATCGTGCGTTTGTGCAGTACTCGGAGTTCGGAACACCATGATACGGGCGGTGATAGTGATGAATACACAGGGAAAGCCTCGGTTTGCTAAGTTCTACGATTTTCAGGTCCCTGTCTGGGAATTTCGTGCCGAATTTTCATATCCTTTTTGCGGCATTTCTATTTTAATGATCTGTCTGATGATGAATTCTTTAATTTAGCCCATCGAGAAGCAGCTGGAGCTCATTCGTAGCGTCTATGGAGGTTCGCAGTTCTATCTTTCGATTATGCTTTCGAAGTACTGAACTGTTCAGAACTAACCTATATTTCGATTTTGATTTCGTTTTGTTTCCCGGTTTGTACAGTACTCTGCAGTCGAGCTGAGAACGTCAGCAATTTCGTGGAAGCTGAGTCCATCTTCGGTCCGGTAATTTTTCGTTTATCGCATAATTCCTTGTCCAACAATTTCCTTCTGGTACTGCTTGTTGGATGTTTTTCGTTATGATTCTTGTATAAGCTAAATATTTGTCAAAAGTGAATGTTGGTTGGCCTTGTTCAGCCGATTATAGAGCAATTACAGAGTGGATTCTCCTTTTATTTTGTGCTGCAGGACTCTCGTCTTGTATACAAACACTTCGCCACCCTTTATTTTGTGTTTGTCTTTAACAGTTCTGAGAATGAGCTCGCCATGCTTGACCTGATACAAGGTATTTCCGATATCTATATCATGGATTACTGATCTCTGGTATCATGTTATGTTTAGACATTCTTTAGTTCATAATTATAAGAAGCGGGGAGAGGCAATCAGTACAAAGAATGATGAAGCGTAGGCTTAGAACTCTCTTATTGAAAAGACATAATTAATTGATAAACTTGAAGAGAATTGAACCCACTAGAATGTTTAATCATTAAAGCTTGTAATTGCATATCCACGTGAATGAATCATTAAGCATATATATGAACATATCCGAATGTGGATCTTTGGATGTTTGTTGTTTCTTGTGTATTACAAGTGCTTCAAAAATGTATGTGAGCTCGACTTAGTGTTCAACTACAGCAAGGTTGGCTCTCTGTCTCTGTTGGTCGGTCTGTCTGTCTGTCTCTGTTACATACACACTCGCAATGCACACATGTACGCATGGCACAATGGTGCACAGAGTCGTAAACTAGTGATCTCTGTTATTTCTAACCAAGTTTGTTCTTGAATTGGTCCAGTGTATTCTTTGATGACATAACTATTATTTGGTTGGTAGTAGTACATGACTCTGTCAATAGATTCTTCTGAACATCTAAATTAGGAATAGTACAAATAAAATTTTGATGCAGATGCATACTATTTTTGATGAAATCATTTCCGGTAGCCAAGTGCTAGAGACTTGTTCTTCTGAAGTATTGAAGACTGTCGAAGAAATATCCAAGTGCTATTTCTCTCCCTCACTAAAAAAAAAAAAAAAAAAAAAAAAACTGTCGATTGCTGCGTGTGTTTTAGGCATCAATACATTGCAGGTTTGATGTCCTTGCACTGGCATTGCAGGTTAGAAGCAGCGTCAAATTCCATCAACTTCGTATCCAAAACAGTTTCGGGTTGGCGGGGTTGAGTTTTCTGTTTTAAGCGAGCTTGTTAAACAATAAAGTACGCCATTTGAATTGCCTTGCCTTCAAATTTTTTCACTGACTGAATATTGAGTTTTGTTCAAGGGAATTCTTGCAGATTTTCTTCAATCACACGGCATATTGGTTTATGAGAAGTTAGTCAAAATCTCCGCAGAACTTTTTTATTGGTGTCCTGTGTTTTTGACCTGCAGTACATGGAAATGGATATTTGCTTCAATGCCAGATTTAAAAGGGTGTAGTAAACCTTATTTATAAGAGTGTGGAAACATCTCAATAATTCTTGTTCCTGTCGATCACCGCTCCTCAATCTCAAAGTTCCTCCCTATCAGGGTCACTTACGATTTTGTTCAGATGTTATCAATGAGGAATTGTTCAGATGTTATCAATGAGGAATTAGTACGAGCTACTACTTTTTTGGTTTTAAGTCACAGTAGTAATATCTGTTGTGTTTTGATGGTTTTCTTTCCTCATATTGATAGTCTCTTTTACTGACGTTGCCTGAGATATATATTTACGACCATGTAATTTGAACATCCAGATCACTTCTTCAAATATATATATTTTTAAACAATTACGATCACTCGTCAAAAATAATGAGCCTTTAACATGAAAGGGAAGCAACACACATGTTCAACAAAATTTAGATCAGTTTCCACGGGAACGAGAAATGGAATCGAAAAGGTACTAGTCTAGCACATAGATTCTGGAGGCAATGTCTTGGACCAACCAATCGAACCCCTCCAGCAGCCCCTCACCAGTGAAAGCACTACAGCCAACAATGTTCCAGTGCCGGGTTTTGTCCATGGCTTCCAAGTTCAGCACCTGGAGAGTAAGAGATGAACAAATAAGCAGGCAGTAATGTACTAGTTCTTGTTAACCCGTCACTGTAAACTGGGCATTCAATAGCATTTCTTTTAGAGCTCCCACTCTCCAACTCCAACTCGGTAATAATATCCACTAGTAGTGATGAGAACAGTGATATAAATGTTCTCTTTTTAATACAAAGAGTTTGTCAGTTATGAAGATTTGAACATCCGACCTCAAAATAAGAATACATACCAATTACTATAATCTCTATATCTCATTTTGGTCTACACATGCAATGCAACCTTTATTTCATGCTCATGATTTTCCTAAAATACTATTGCATGAGGACGTAGCCTACCCTACAAATAGATGTGGAATGAACTAAATTATGCCTTACGATAACAACATGCAAAGTCTTCAGCAAAAAAACTACAGAACAAAAAACTTGAAAAGATCCAATCAGAGAAGAATTGAACTTGAAGCTTAGAAGAGGAACTTCTTACTTTAGCAATTTCCTCAGGAGAAAGAGCTCCTTTTATGTCCTGCTTATTAGCTAGAATAAGCAATGATGCTCCAGAAAGCCTCTGTAATATGATCGACAACATTAGTAAATTACCATTCTTTATCATCCATATAATATTTTATAGAAGCTTTGATCATGCATTGCTAACATTTGATCTACTGCTTGTATACTTTAATCTTTCTTTCGGTAAGAAACCGATTCATTATGATATATGAAAGTATAAGAGGGGATACACAAAAACACAGGTTGAAATGTATAAGAGGGCCACATATCAACTTATAAAGCCTATGCAGTCACGAGCAAATTCATAACTTACTGCTCAGGAGTCGAGATAAACTATAGACTTGAAAACAATATCAAACGATCAATTATCATCCATACTAGTAATGTCTAGCAAATACATATAAAAATTGTTATGGAATCAACCCAATGGAAAGTTTTGGAACGGATTACCTTGATGATCAAGATTAAGAGAAAAAAAAATCCGTTTCTAAACTAGTGATTCGAATCACTCCACAAGAGGTTTTATCAATTCCACTTATGACTCTAGCATCCAAATTTTAAACACAAGAATATACGAGCTAAAAGCTTAGCTCTCAACAAAGCTAAAATAGAAACTCTATTCTTTTTCAATTCCAAAATGTGATTTCTTGGTTCATATAAACAATGCAAATGGAAAGATGGAGCCTATAATTTGCTTACTTCAGTTAAAAGAAATGATGCAGTCAGTCAAACCAAATCAAACAGATAAAGGAAATATATGCATAAACCAACATACAAGTCACAACTATACCAGGATAAGAGAGGAGAGAAAATAGGTTATGACATTGTCAATTTGCCCATTGAAAAAAGGTGAACTTCTAACCTCTTCTTTCAAAAGATTATCGAGTTCTGATTTGCAATCATCCAATCTTCTAAGATCAGAACTGTCAACAACCCATACTAAACCATCAGTCTGCTCAAAATAGTTCCTCCAATAGGATCTTATAGTCTTTTGGCCCCCAACATCCCATATGTTAAGTGTGTACCTATCAAAGAAAATAGTTAATAGCATTTTATAACAACTAAAGAGTGAGGAGTGTGCATAACAGATCCCAAAACTTGAAAAGAAAATCTCAATCCAGAAATAATTATGAATGAAAAACATGGTAAAATTAGGAAGGAAGCTCACTTCTGATAAACGATAGTCTTGATATTGAAGCCAAGTGTAGGGCTGATAACGCTAGTATCCTCCCCGTTAATCTTTAAAACGATCGTAGTTTTCCCAGAGTTGTCGAGGCCTCTGAAAACACAATAAACAATGGATCCAAGTGAATGAGATGCAGAGAAATAGACGGAAGCGGAAAGAGAAAGAGAGATTTACATACACCATGAGTATGCGCATTTCCTTCTCCTTCCTTTTAATTTTACGAATGATACTAAGCAGTCCCATTATCTACGCCGCCTCCGCACCGCAAATATTCCAACCAAATCAACGCTATGAAATTCGGCGCAATTCCGTCGTCTCTAGCAACCAACTCAGGGATATGAAATTGGCTATCGACGGGGAATCGTATGGGTGTTCTTTCCTGTCCGATTTCCTGAGAATTCGGGCCCGCACCCAGGCAAACGGATCCCTAAAACCGGAGAAAAAAGTTGCAGCAAGAATAGCTGATTGAGTGAGATTGAAGGTGGATAATCAGAGTGTGTAGATGACGACCATGACGGTGAGGAAGAATGAAGGAGGGAGATGGGTGTGGAGTGAAATTACGAAGAGGAAGACGAAGACGCGGGAGGGTCCAAATGAGCGAAGGCTTTAGATTTCAGATTTGGAACTCTCAAGACTACGACAGAGAAGCAGTTTTTTTTTTTTTTTTTTTTAATTTTAAATAAATAATAAATTTATTATTTATAATTGTATTAATACGGTAATAATCTTGTCGATATATTTCTAATTTTATTCATTGATTTAAAATATTATTAATTCGGATATTGATATCCCAATAATCAAATGTACCTTTGAATAATGGCGGGCCGATCCCGTGACTAAGATAGTCGCACAGCAGCGAGACGAAACCAGAGTAGATGGAAAAGCGGGGCCTGGGCTTTTTCCAGCTGTTCAATGGCTCCCCCACATAGAGCCACGAGTGAGGTTGGAGAACTAGCCAAGCGAAGCCGGAAGTCATGAAAATCGGAAGAGTACAACCTTACCTTCACATGATATGGACTCCAAGTTCTTATGGTTGGAGCCATGGTCTACCCTGCAGTGCTTCATATCCTCCTTTTGATCGACCTGAACAAGATATGCGGATCCCCTCAACCCCATACCATGGCACAAGAAAAAGTTTCTGCGCGGCGGAATATGGCATTGAACGGTGGTACGTACGACTTAGAGCCAAGGGGCTCACTCCAGAATCTGCTTCGATTCATGCATCTATTATCTTATAGCCCAGTGTGGCGAGTCGCCCGTCTATTAAGATGGGGTAAAAGGTCACACCTGTTTACTATTCCAAATTGAAAGATCTTAAGTGGTGTAACTCTCTAGGCCTCCACTGTAGTCATCCCAAGTGTAGGGCTGAAAACGTTGTGCTTTGCCATACATGTCGTAAGACTTGGAATGACGTCAAGACATATAGACTATACCGATTGGGAACCAAAATGACAAGATGAGATGCGATGTTACATTGAGAGACTTTAGCTTTGAGTAGAGGCAATGACTTGGCCTAATGTAAAGACAAGTCAGTTGTGTCGTAGACGATTGAACATGCACACGCAGGCAGCGTGTGTAGCTTGAATTTCACACAAGTGGTGTTCGATTGGTAAAGACAAATCTAGCATAAGATCCAACGAAGCCACAAAGTCGGAGAAAAAAAAATATATATATAGGGTTTGAGTGAAAATCACAAATGTCGCAACTATCGAACCAATGTAGGTTCTCACAATGTCGCAACTTCGTTCCCATCTCCAACCAGTGTGGGTTCTCACACTTCACCTTCCATTGAGACCCAACATCCCTATTGGCACAGAGCTCGATGTCTGGCTCTAATACCATTTGTAATGGTTCAAGTCCACTGATAGCAAATACGTGGAATCTCACGCTAAAGCTTTTCATCGAAATTGAATAGAAAATTGTGACGAAGAATTAATCCAATCAAAGGACACCATTTTCGAGAAAGAACAAGCTATTTGTTAATGTAATCAAACTCTCCTTTTGTGTCCCTTTAACACCCTTCACAAGACTATGAAAAGATGGGAGATCTTATTATAACCTTCTCTTTGGATTCAACTCAACTCCCACTACATCTTACCATTTTCTTTTACCCTTCAAATCCTCCACACCACATTACTTTTATCTTAAGCATCCTTCAAATTAGGCCCTTAATCAAATAATTTAATCAAATTAGGCCTTAATCCACTGTTTCATCTCTCGTCCTTCCACATGTGGGACAATAATAATAAATAAATAAATAATATGAGACAACATTACTGCAGGAAAATGCTATATTCAATTTAAACATAGTTCAATTTAAAAATTTTAACTAAAAATTAAAATATTTAAAAAAAAAAAAAAACGAAACTTATTCATCAATGGACATCAACATAATAATTTTGTATACAATAATTTAAATAGCCTCGTAAGAAGGGACAATGAATATGAATATAAGGTAGAGTGTGAGGACAAAATGGGTATTAACTTTGGCAGGCGGCTTGTTCCGGGTTATACCTACAAGAAGTAGAACAAGCTCCCTCCTTTTAATTTTACCACAAATATTAATGTGTCTTTATCTTAATCTAATTAGTACATATAATTTAATTTAATTTAATTTAATTTAATTTAATTAAAAACAAATAATAATAATAAGAAGAAGAAGGCAGTGAAATGTAGGGCAGAATTGGGGGGGGGGAGGAGGAAGCAAAGGTTCCCACAGACATTCAGTCCAGTAAGACATTTGTTGCTTTTGAGGAACCAAAGGATGTCGTGTTCCTTCCTTTTTAATACCTAATTTTATATTTATATTTATATTTATATTTATATATTTTATTCTTGGTTTAATTATTATTGTTTGGAATTCCTCCCCATTTGCCATCAATTTGACTGTCGTTTTTTGCATGCATGCATGCAAACCACTCTCCACATTCCACGTGTCCACACCTATCACTTCCGACAAAGCTTCTTCCCCATTCTATTCTTTCTCGCAACTAATAATAATCAACGGATATGGCCACGTACGCAACTGATGATGTGGCAATTCCTATCCTACGTGGACTGGACTCTCATAAAGCAATAGTACGAGAGAGAGAGCATCTTTATTTTGGTACAGAGAGAGAGAGAGAGAGAGAGAGAGAGAGAGAGAGGAGCCATCATCATCATCATCAATCTCAAGACGATCTGATTGTTTCTTTTATATTTTTATTTATTTTCTACACATCAGAACACACAACCTGTGGGGTCCACGTTTTCAAAGCCCAGTTTGGTCGGATTTTTTTATTTTTGAACATATATATATGTTTTGGAGGACGCTTTTCCTTTTTGGGAGGTTGTATCTTTGACTCAGAATCTAATAACCTAATAAAAATAGGAGACCCAACACAGTCCTTTGCTTTCATGATTGCCTCAGTATCGCAAGCATCGCATCGCATCTCCCCCCCCTCTCTCTCTCTTTCTTCTTCCTCATTTTGTTCACTTTCAAACGTTAAGAATCCGAACCAAGAAAGGCACGTGATTAAAGAAACACTCCCCCGTAATCTCAAGATTCTTAAAGCACTATTTTCGGTTTCGTGAAATGTAAGAACAACTTCAAACCACACCCCTTTTCTTCGTTTTCCTTGCCAAGGAAGCTAACCTACCGTTCATTACTCTACTCCGATTATGAAAGCTTATACTCAAAGTACACCATTTGAAGAAGGAGAAGGAGAAGGAGAAGTGACTCAAAAGAAGCTCACACATGGACATAGACATGGACGTACAAAAGGCTTTATTCCAACCCTACATCCCACATTGACTGAATCAGACTGACAAGAGCAGACAATTCAGACATCGGTTTCATTTGTTGGGCCCACCACTGTGTTTGAATTAAAACAAAACTACCTCCTCCGTATATTCTTAATTCCGACAACGTGGACTCATTTTTTGCTGATGTGGCTTTGTCTTCTTCACTTTCACTTCTCCCAACATATATCCATCCACCCATCCATTGCGCTTATAAAATCCTCCCATTGCTTCCATTCATTTCCTACCCATTCCTCTGTTTCCTTCTTACTTCTCATATTCAAAGTCAACAGAGATGATGCAACGCTGTGGAAGCTACCAATGCTACTCGGCCGGAGAGTGTTCTTGTGAGGCTGCGTTTTACGGGCAGCAGACCACCTTCTTCTCCATGCCTGCTTACAACAATTACTATGAATCTCAACATTATTCTTTCCAATCCTCTTCCCCCGTCGTCGATTGTACGCTCTCTCTCGGTACCCCCTCCACTCGTATGACGGAGTTCGATGAGAAACGCCGCGAGGAGCAGCAATCCGCTTCTAATTTCGCCTGGGATTTTTCTCGCACCAAACATCCTCCCTCCTCCAAAAGTGGCCGCCGTGGTGGTGATAAATCCAGCTCCAATGCTGACCAAATGTTCGCTCGCCACTGCGCCAATTGCGACACCACCACCACCCCCCTCTGGCGCAACGGCCCTAGTGGCCCAAAGGTAACCAAACCAATCCAATCCAATCCAATCCAATCCTCTGTTATTCTCTATCTAACCATTCAATTAATATATGGATTTGATGGATTATTGATAATTTGGCACAGTCGTTATGCAATGCGTGTGGGATTAGATACAAAAAGGAAGAGAGAAAAGCAGCGAGTTCAGGGCAGCAGGCGAGTTCGATGTACAGAAACGAGACAAGCTCGTGGCTTCAGCACCACTCGCACACACAAAGAACGCCCAGATTCGCACATGGAATTGGGAATGATATGAATCCAAGCGTGGCGATTCTGTCATGGAGCCTCAACGACACAGAACAACCTCAGCTTTACTACGACTTCACAAGTTGAAATGAAAAAAAAGACAACAACAGAACAGAACAGAACAGAGCAGAACAGAACAGAACAGAACAGAACAGCACGATGGGCGATGGGGAGGATGTGGGGGTGTTCTTCTTTTTCTTTAATTTTGTTTAATTTTAATTAAATTAACTTTGTTTTTATACGGGGAAGAACAAAAAAGAAGAGAAAAGAGAGAAAGGCATGGCTATCATGTTGTTGAAGGAATTTTCAAAGATGGGGAGACGGGTTTTTGGAAATACTGTCTCCTTCGCAGACTCCCCACCATCATCATCCATTTTTCTTTTTTCTTTTTTTTTAATTTTCTCTCCCTTTCAGAAATTTTCCACTATACATTCATGTTTGTGAAAATCGAAATATATTAAAATTTTATATTATATAATATAGACTTGTCTTCTCATCTCTCTCTTACTTTCTCTTTCTTCATTCCCAATGAAGTTTGTTCCTCCCTACTTTCTTCTTCCTCAAGTGTTCCAATGTTTTATTATATTTAATTAATTAATGTTTTTGAATAGCTAAGTTTGAAGCCCAATTTATATCTGTTTTGGGCTGAACAGGTGGGCCAATCCTGGATTTTGAATAGCCAAGTAAGATCATGAGTGGTTGATGATTCTCCAGACAAATAGTCCAATATTAATAGAATCCTCGAATGTCGAACAAATGGTGTATTTTAGGGTGCAAGGGTGAATGGAAGCATGAGGAGGGTAAGTGAAAATGAGATAATGGAGGTAGGTGTTCATAGATTTAACTCTCATCAAGGGTTCAAAGAACAACACAGATATAGAGCAATTGATTCAAAATTAGCAGCAGCAGCAGCAGCAGCAGCAGATAAAGGGATTCCCCCCAATGCCCAAACAATCAAAATGAACACAAATGCAGCAGTGCAGTTAATAACATAATAAAAGGGGATATACCTATGGGGGTACCTTGTTCAAATGGATCCCTCGTATTGTCGACTGCATTCAGAGAACTTCCAGATGGGCGCTCGAATTGGGTTTTGACGCAGGCGAAGAACGACGCTAGGAGAGACAAATCCGAGAGAAAAAGGAAGTAATCCCCATTTAAATCAAGTACGAAAGACAGCGGCCCATCAAGGCCCATAGAAAAATCAACAGGCCCAACAAGACACAAATCAGCCCAAAATAGTACAAAAGGAACGGCCCATGAAGATTCCGAGTGGGCCTAAAACGGCCCAATAAGTCGTGGGTTGGGCTTCATTGAATAATAATTCGACACGTGCGGGTAAGTAGTGGTACGCGCATAACGAATTTTGTCGGAAAGAGAGAGAGAGAGAGAGAAAAGGGTGCCCGACAGAAAAGTACGAAACCGACACTGAAAATGCAAAAATTAGCGGTAAAAGAAAGAAATACCAAAACTTTTTTACGAAACGCAAATAATAATTATAATAAATTCAAGAGGTTTGGATTATTTGGTTGACTAAACATTCTCTCTAAGCGTTTGTGGAGCTTCCACTCACTCACTCACTCTCTCTCTCACACCCATCCATTCCATCACTCTTCTTATACCAAACGATTCCATGTCGCTAAACGACAAAAAAAATAAAATATTATTTTCTGACTTTTTTTTTTCAATTATTAAAAATAATTTTGGATGGGCTGAATTTTTGGATCAAAAGCCCATTAAAAACCTAGGAATTACTTGCTTTCATTTGTTTTAGAATTTTCCAAAAAAGAAATTCCATCAGAAAATAAATGGTGACGTGGAGGTGCGTTGGAAAATGGAGAGGGGAAAAGGAAATGGGACTGGGCTTTCGCCACGTTATCAGTTTTAATTTTTAATATTAATATTAGTTGGTTGGGAATTGTTCCCTGCGGCAATGGGACGCGTGTGGATTTGGATAACCTAAAATATTAATTACGTTATTAAAATAATAATTTAATAATTAATGATTTAAGATCTAAATTAACACACTTCTTCGGCACTCATTGTTTGACTTAACGCAATCAAGATTAGCAGCCATTTAAGTTTCCCACGTACCACAAAACGCAGCGTATTGCTGCCGTTCCATCAAATTGACTGCCGTCATTTTGACCAATTTAACTATTCTTTTTGGGATATAAAATATAAAATAGTGTCCTTATATAGTTTCCAGAAACCTAATGTGTGTGAAGATCTTACCTAGCGTTCAGATCTATGTTTCCCAATTGAAAAATTAAAAAATAAAAAACCCATTTTATGATATTATATGTAACTGCATGAGTCTATTATAATTATTATAACTTTACTAATTGGTCAAACTTTCTGGGTATTATTTGGTTACAAAGTAATTATATAACATTATAATAAATGTCAATAAATCAAATCAACAGTTAGCTAATAACAATTAACAATATCGTTATTACTTTCATATGCACCAGCAGGTGTTCAATTTAGTCATTTTCCACGGGGCGTCTGGGAAAGGTCCTTAATACCCTTCTCATGAATTTTTTCTCTCTAAGAACCATAAGGGTATGGTTGAACTTTCACACTCGGAACTATATAGAAAGACAGTGGAGCTGGTGCGAGCTGGTGCGAGCTGGTGGCTGCATCTTGATTAGCAATGGGACAACTATGAAGGAGGTGTTTATGTGACATTGTTTCATTTAAAAGCTTGCTGGAATTTCTTAATAATTTCGACATTTTGTAATTCAACAATTGTTTAAAGGAGGATTAGATGTCAAATTAATTAGTCCTGTAATAATTCTAGATCTGAAAGGTACGAAATTATGATCCATCGGTTAAAAAATCTTGTCACTTATCTAATCCTACCCTATTCTAAATTATATATATATATATATATATATTGTCAAAGTGCCAACATTGCGAAAAGAAAAGTCCATTCCATCAAGTGAATTACCATAAATTTAGTACAAAAAGAGGGAAATCAAATAGCTAACATTAAATGTGATACCTAATAAAGAACATTAAGTTCATATGTTAACATAAATTATTTATACCATTAATTACAATTAATTGCTAACCTTAGTAGTTAGAGACGTTGGGAACAATTAATCAGCTTGCAAAAGCTTAATAAATACACAAGTAATCATTTCTACTTGACTAAATATAGGCGACATTTTTTTTTTCTAAAAGGCTAACATCCTAAAAGGTTGCTAATCCAAGAAAATTAATTATTCTTTGGGATATGTTTTGAATTTATTCTTTGAATTAATTTGCAATAGCCGATCTGCATTATACAAATTAATTAATAAGGATTAAGAAACTTATAGCGTTTCCCACCCAGAAAAAAACAGAATAATAGAGATAGGGAACCTCCATTTTTTTCTCCTAAAGAAACAAAATAATAGAGGTAGGCTGACAAAGCTTCAGTTTTTCTCCTAAACTTTGAATCTATTTAAACTTATTTAATGAGACGGAGAGTTTGAAAAATAATCAAGACTAAACTTAGCTGAAAACTTACTCATACAAGATGAACAAATCATAAGCAATTGTATCATTAATATGTAGGGATTGGTAGAAAAACAAAGTTACCAAGAAAGAAGGAGCAGAGAACTGTTGAAAGTTGACGGTAGAACAGGAACAAAAGCAAACTTCAGCTGTGATGGTACAAAGAAATCAGTGAATTGAATGCGTTAAGATCTGGTCAAAATGAGCAGGGACTGGGGGGGCGTGGTAAAAAACAAAGAAGACAGGCCTAGAGCGAGAGGTATGGAAAGTGGGGTGGACCAAATAAAGGAGTGGCATAATGAAGAAAGAGAGAAAAGGGTGAAAAACCAGAGTGGTGAGTGAGTGTTGTACAAATTGGCGTGCAGTGTTAGATATCCACCAAATGCCCCAAAAGTTAGCGATTGATATAAATGGTAAAGAGTGGAGACGTAGCAAAGTGTTGTGTTAGGGGATGAGTGGAGTTGCAGAAACATTAAGACAGCCACAGCCTTGATGGGGAAAGGGGGAAAGAGAATCTGACACTACAAACATAAGTGGACCATCCTTCCCTTCCTTCACTTTATAACCCCACCCCTCATAAAAACTCTCTCTCTCTCTCTCTCTCTCTCTCTTGCTCATAATAATCCCTTTGTTTAGAGGTATTGTTTTGTCTCTGGGAGAATCCCATTCCAGGCAAGGGGCAGCCGAGTTAAGAGTCTAGTCAGAAAACCAGCTTGGGCTTTGTCACTAATCTAATCTAATCTCCTGCTGTCTTGCATATTTGAATACATTTATTAGGGATGTGGGGAGTGGTTTAGGGTTTCAGAAAGTGCCCAGAAAGGCAATTATTAGAAACAGGACCAAAGCTGCAGGCTGTGGGAGATGACTAACATGACCTTGTCGGTTGTTTTGCTGGAATAGTCCTCTTCTGCAGTCATCACTTTATTCTCCAAACCCCCACACCTGCGGCTTCCGATCTTGGGTTTGGGCGGGTGGTAGGAAACACCAAAAAAAAAAAAAAAAAAAACCCTCTCTTTACCTTCTTCCTACACACCATCTTTCTTTCTTCTTATACTCTCTTTCTTCTGATTGCATCCATCCCCCAGCAGCTTCCATATTCACTATTGTCGTTTTCCTGCTGCTCTTACTTACTGCATATTTCTTCATATTCCCCTCCCTCCCCAATTTTACAAAGGTAAGATTTTGATAGCAGACGCTGGTAGGTCCCTCTCTCTTTCTCTCTCTCTATGTATGAATTCAAATTCATAGATGTTGAAAATTTCTCCTCTTTTGTCTTTCCGTCCCCAGTAATCCATTTATTTCCTGTTACCCAACAGTTTGTAGCACTTACGATAACGGATTGGGAGTGATGGAGGACGCAAGAAAGCACCAGGAATTAGCAAAGGAATCTGGAGATTAATTAGCTACCTGGCTAATTGAGATCATGATCAGAGGGAGCTTAGCGTTGCTTAGTTCGTCGAAGATCCAAATGAATGTCTAGGATATAGAAGGGTAATGATGTGGAAGGCGGATTAGTTATTGGCACCCAAAAGTAAGCTAGTTTAGATTTGTTACCTATTTTTGGAGATCAGATATAATGGAGATGAGAGGTGAAGATGAGGAAATAGGAACTCCTTCCCCTTTGTGCTATCAATCAAATACGGAATCTTCAACCAAACTGCCTAATTCTGATCATACACATCTAACACCAGCTGATACCAGAAGAGATCACACAGTACCCCAGCTCCATTTCTCTCATCAACTGAATCAAAACCATCACAAACTGAGTCTGCATCAGTATTTACACAAACACACAACAGACCATCCTGTAGCAACAACCCCAGATCCAGTCCAGACCTCCGTTACTGCCTCACCCTCTGCAGTTACTCAGCCGATTGCAAGCAGCAGATCAACCTCAAGAACACCACCTGCAAGTAATAATGTTATTCCTCCAGTTCGGTATCGAGAATGTTTGAAGAACCACGCAGCGAGTACTGGAGGCCATGTTCTCGATGGTTGTGGCGAGTTCATGCCTGGTGGAGAAACTGGAACGCCCGAGGCCTTGAAGTGTGCAGCCTGTGAATGCCATCGGAACTTTCACCGGAAAGAGGTGAAAGATCACGAGCCCACACAGCTTGCTGTACCCAGTGGCTTTTTCATCTCCAATACCATCAGAAACAATGGCCATCACACTGATAGGTCACCAGTTCCACTCTCCCGCCACCATCAATTGCCGGCAGTTCCAATTTCTTCGATGATGGCATTTGGAGGAAGCAATGGAGCTCCGGACGAGTCTTCAAGTGAAGATCTAAACATGTTTCACCAGTCCAATAATGGAGCCCGGGACCTGTTCGGTCAGCAGCAACAATTAATGAAAAAACGATTTAGAACAAAGTTCACACAGGGACAGAAGGACAAGATGGAAGAGTTTGCTGAAAAACTGGGGTGGAGAATTCAGAAACACGATGAATTGGAAGTGCAGCAGTTCTGCGCTGAGGTGGGCGTAAGGAGGCAAGTTTTCAAGGTTTGGATGCACAACAACAAACAAGCCATGAAGAAGAAACAAACGTAAGAACTTCTTAGAAGTTTTACTTCAAACCCATTTCGTGAAATAATGAATACTTGTTGACTAAGTTCTAAGAAGATAGATTTTAGAGCAAGTGCATGTGACACAGACCAATATTAGTAGCATCGAACAAGGGAGAGAGGCAATATTCAGTTCTTGAACGAATATATCTCATTGCACTTTGTCGTGTTACTTCTACCTCTTACCTGGATGCTTTAAGCATCAATGTTTACCAAAATCAACACTGAAATAAGTTGAGTAACTCCTCCCCAAAACAAAGCCAATGAAACTGTATCAGGAGAAGTAAAAAAGAGATGGACGGCGCGGAAGAAGCGAAAGAAAGTGCATGGTAGGCTGTTAGATTTACATCTATAATACCGATATTTCAATTCTGTGGCTAGAATGTAGACTGATATAATGTCTTTTTTTCTTGTTTGTCATTATCTACAAATTATAATCTTCGTTAACCCTGAGACAGAACAGCGAATGAGGTGAAACCCTCATAAAAGACGACTTTGATTTTGTTGGAAACCTATAATCCAAGAAGTACTATGAGAGTGTGTTTGTTCATAATATCAGAAAAAGCGTAGTCCGCTTACATTTCCATATTTTTTTGTCCCCAGAAACTGGTGGAAAAAAAGGACGAATCTATTTCAATCCTGGAATTGCAACTTAAATTTTCAGGAATTAGTCTTCGTTGTATTCTACTCATGATTAAGGAATTAAATATGTTGAATATATAAATTTGTTCTTTCAGGACTACAACTTAGTTTCTTCAGAACTAGAAATTTGCTAGTTAGATAAACCCAGATTGATAAAATTATAAACATATAAAATACATTTATAACAGCGAAGGCTTTAAATCAGCTACGGAGCTTTGGGAATTGGATTATCTGAAATGGTACCCTGCCTCTCTATCTAGTAGAGAAAAGGGTCTGGAAATCTCAGATTTCGAGTAAATAGATGACCCCAGACAGTTGAACATTGATAAGAAAGAAGCTCTTAAAGTTTTTACTGCGGGAATATGCTTGGTGGAAAATTGAGGAAACAGATATGTTCTTCTGTCTTTAATGTACAACGCAATTAAAGGCTACGCGGTGTGTTCTGCAATGAGTGTCTTTAACGTAAAGTATTATTGAAATGAAAAGCATTACTATTCGATGTGAAGCATTTATCAAATCCAACAATACAAAATAAATTCTGAAGGGAAACACAAAATAATAATAGTTTACCTCTTTTAATTACGTCAATGAATCATCTAAAGCGGTCTCCAGACGACAAGCTTTTGAATGCTTCCATCAATGGCATTGCTCCATATAGTTTGCTACAAAATGGAAGAGCAATTGTTCAGATCTTCTCTTATTACAGGCATCTAATGTACGCATACGTGAAAGCTGGGGGAAATTTCAATGGGCTAATCCCATTTCTTACCGAGTTCGTCTCTGCAGCAGTATAATAAATCAATTTACTCGATCAATCATAACACGTTACAAATACAAATAATAATGAGCAAGAAATCTTACCTGAAATCAATAGCCCATACCTAAGGTCTCTAGGGCGTCTGGTACTCTCCAGAGTGTTGGAGATAAGCTGGGAAGTTTGTGAAATGGGGTTAGGCTTCAAAAAATGGGGATGCTTCAACTTTACCAAGCGGCACTACTGCTGTGTTCTGACAGGCAACCATCATATTAATGCATTTTCAGCTTTATTAGAAGTCATTCTGACCTTTCGAGAGCATACTTCTTTTGAATTTTGATGTCTTTTCCACACCAGCAACAGCAGCTGCTGCAGCAATTTCAACTTTTTTCTACTGTCCTCGCTGCGGCGGCAGCATCTCCTCAGCTTTATCCACCGCCCACCGTATAATGAGATTGAGCCCTCGCTCTCCAATCTGCTTTCGAGACCTTCGGAAAGCGACAAAAGGAAAACAAATATCCCCAACGGACGGAATAATAAACAATTATAAAATAAAAACCACTAGAACCACAAGAAATTTCCATTTTCTTGCAACAGTTTGGGAGCACAAACTTTTCCTGCTAGAAAGATCAATCAAATCGTTAATCATTACTTCCATAACAACTTTCAAGTAACGTAAACAAGCACAATTATGCAAAAAAAAAAAAAAAAAAAAAAAAAAAAAAAAAAAAAAAAAAAAAAAAAAAAAAAAAAAAAAAAAAAAAAAAAAATTATGCCTTAAACCCTAGTTAATAGACACAAAACCTTAATTTTTTACGTCTTAAACCCTAGTTTATAAGACCTTATAAACGATTCTTACGATTTGATAAAAATTTCGGGAATAATCTCCATGATTGTTCTTGAGCCAGTTCCTCAGAACTCAGTTTCTAAGTATTTTTAATCCATTCTTAAGTGTACTAAAATATAGTTTCGTAATTAGTAAATGATTGTGGCCTATTCCTTCGGTAAAATAAAATGATCCTCAAACGCATGAGCGAAACCATTAAACAATACTGTAATTGAAGAATTTATGATGAGAATAATCATGTAATTTGCATCGTGATATGTAGAAAGAACTCGCATTAATTAACAATGATCTTTGAATCACATGCACTAATCGAGAAGAGCGCCCTTTTCTTTTTTGGAGCCAAAAAGGCATCAAGCACCACGAAATACACTAAAACTTGCGGTCGAAGCGTTTACCTTCATATAAGCACCGAAGGAAATTCGCAAGCTATTTCCCCGAAGAACTGCGCGAGAAGATCGATTAGAGAACATGCTCATGTTTCTCTCTCAGAACGATCGTGCATGGCCGTATTCTGCCGCTCATGACGACGGCGCACACAATCGCCGCTGCTTCTGGTACCAAATAATCTCACGAAGAAAAAACGAAATTACTTCGGAAGCGGCAGAGGCTTTTGAATCACTAACCGCATCCGCTTTCCTTTCCATTTTCCGATTAGAGAGAGAAAATGAGAACGAAAAGCAGTTTTAAACAGAGAGAGGAAAAAACGTGGCAAATATTTGAAACCACCGAAGGCGGGGACTGGGCCACCTGAGTGACACGTGTCGTCGCACACGGCAGCAACCTCCCTCCACCGTCACAGCTGGTTTCTCCACGAAAACTTGTCTAAAAAGTCACAAGTTCCGCCGTTTATTGTAATTGTCTCCGTCAGGTCATCGGATCGGCCGACCGTCGACAGATTGTTCCGACCGCAGCGTACCATTTTTCGTCCTTTGTCGGCCCAACTTACAACCCGAAGGACACCGAATTTAAAATGAAAATTTTACTTTTCCCCATGAGACGTAAAAAAGATATGCAAGTAAATTCATGTTCAATGTTCTTCCCAAGAACCGGTAAAAAAAAAAAAAAAAAAAAAAAAAAGCTGCGGAAAGAGTGAAAGTAAGGATGATGTCACAGTGGCAATTCGCAAGAACTTCGGGAGCTTCTTAACAGATGATTTTTTTTTTTTATGGATAAAATAAAATTTTGATTGAAGAATTATAATCGAATCTGGGCTTCAATGAGAATTGGGCCTGAAAGCCCAATGGCCCAAACTCCTAGCTTTGAGTTTTTTTTTAACCCATGAATGAGTACTTTAACCACAGAATTGTAGTGTTTGTATGCTACATAATGGGTAAAAAGTGATGTAAAAATGACGGCTCTTCCCTGCAAGTGATGTTACAAAGAAAAAATTCCTCAACTAAACAGGATGGCCACCTTCAGCAGCTAGCTTTAGTCTTTGGTGATGCTCGGTTACCTTATAATCAACGATTTCTGTAAACAACATAGAGTCCAAGACACAGTCTGGCCGCCCATAAACAGCTGCCTGAACACTGGCCAGGAGCTTTGCGATCTCACGGCCGGAGAACTCTTTGATCTTTCGAGCTGCATCTCGAAGAATGTCGTCGGTTATGTCTCTTATGGTTATTTGTTGGGGGATTTTCTTGAATGAGAATGCTTGCTTGGATTTGGCTTCATTTTGATTGCTTAGGGTGTTTAGATAAAGCTTCAGCAGTTTGAAGCGTTCTTCCTCACCAGGGAGTGGGAACTCAATGACTTCATCCATTCGGTCAGTCACGGCACTGTCGAGATCGCCCGGTCTGTTTGTTGCAAGTACAAGAACTATGTCTCTTGATTGATCACCAGTTCGGAACAGCAATGCGTTCGCTGAGCTTCACTCATCTGTGTACTGTTGCGCCTGCAGACGTTTCAGACATTTCAGCTAAAAATGTACTACTTTCATGTTAATCCTACACTAACCTCACAAGAAGGGCTTAACAGAATAACAAGATTACTTTTACATGCTCTGCCTTTTTCTCTGTTATGGGGGGTGGGGTGGGGGACTTACTCGCAGAGAAAAGCATCAGCCTCGTCGATGAAAAGCAGTAAGCCTTTCCTTGAATTTTTAGCCCAGTCAAATATTTGGTGTATTTTTGTAACGGCTTGTGGACCTAAAGGAGCAACATCTCCTCCAGTCATCATGGCATAATCCAAACCCTGCTTAAACAAAAGGAACTAGGGATCAAATTGAGCAGCATGATCCAAAAGCTGAGTCAACTATCCTAATCATTTCATGGCGGTAGAGTTTTTGAACTAAAGCTGTGCTATGCTGAATGATGATATCATATCATACCTCTAGAACTATAGAGGAGAAGCATGTTCCATCCAGGCAAAAAAAAGTTCAAACAAAACACATTTATAATGGCAAGAAAAGAAAAGAGTAAATAGTAAGGCATTGGTGGACATCTTTACTGATTTTTGGGCTATCTCTTTCACAACCATAGTTTTCCCGGTCCCGGGAGGTCCATAAAATAGCATATTACGGAAGGGTGCCTCATGAGCCTTGGTGTTTGCAGTAGTTCTCGAAAGTTGTTCAATTCTCCTTTTAAGTGAAGGATGGAGGACAAAATTCCCAAGATCATTTTTATTTTCTGCGAGAGATGCCGCCCCAGCTCCTGTAGAAAATGCAGCAGCTTTGTTCTTTACCCAGGGTATTATCTTGAAACCTGGAAACCTTACAACAGAGGATTCTCTAATGAAGGATGGCTGGCCCAATAACCTATTAACATAACCCCACATAACTCTTGCACCTTCCCTGTACACGAGGAGTGATAAAGGGAGAATGATTAGATAACATATTAAGCTTAAAATCAGTGAGGTAAACCAAAGACTTTAATCACAGACTTGTATGTGGATAACATGTATACATAGTTCCAATCTTTCATGAAAATGGGTGGCTTTTTCACTTTCACATCTCCCTAGTCGAATTAAGGATGTAGAACGTTTGCCAGATCATTAGCAGATCAATATCAAGTTAAGGCCTGTGAACTGTGAAGGTGAATGACCTAAAGTTTAAATATAAGTATTATTAGTTATATTGTACCTTACTAATAATTTTTTTTGGATATAACTGGGTATTCACGGAACAATCACCTGGTAGTGTATACTCCCGCAGCTAATGCAGTAGCTCCACCAACAGTCAAAACCAACTTATTCCGATCAGTTAGTAAAATCCTTACACCCCCTGCACGTAGTATTCAGAAGTAAATATATAAGGTGTCTTGTGCATTGGAGTAGTGACAAATATGAGATTAAACTAATAATGGAAAAGCATGTTAATCTATTGCATAATGTGCCTCTCCCAAATTTTCTCGATTCCTCAAGCTATATGAACTTTCAAATAAATGGAAGTAAATGCTACTTATCTGAAAAGAGGTTCGTAAACTAGAATGTATGGAACCTCTGAAGTTAACTTTTGAATTAGAACACAATAATCTATTCCATATTATGAAATTGTCACTCCAATACCATTAACCATCACATGCTTATAAATTAAATTTAATCTACCTTCAATATGACTAAAAGCCGTGTTAATTGCAGCAAGCCATTTTTCTCTCTCCACTTATTTGTTCCATCAGCATTCTGCGGTTATGGTTTTCAGTCAGCTTTGCTTCATGTGCACGACCCTCAGCCTCTGCCATAGCCTTCACTCGTATGGTTTCCCGCTCTATTTCAGCTCTCTTTCTCAGTCTGTCGTTGTTGTGCTTGTATCTGCTCCTCAGTTACTTGTCTTGCTTGTTATTTTCTTATAGATGATTGTTCTTGCATTCCAACTAACTCAACATTATGTCACCTTTGAGCTTCGTGATCAGTCTGCAAAGAATAAGAAGACATAAATAATAAAGCATTAACATGCACAATCAAAATCTTTTATCCTTAACATGCATTTTCCAACTCATCCTTATTCTGGAGAACCAACTAAAACCAACCCACCTGCATTCTTTTTCTGGCCAACTCATCTTCATAGCGCAGCATTTGTGCCTTTGCCTGAGCTTGTTGTTGAATAAGATTTCTCTGTTCTTCGGCCAATTTCCGTTGTCTATCCTGTAATCTAACATGTTAACATATAGACTAGACATCAGAGGCTAACTCGTTCAAGTAGTTTACTATTTGCAAACCAACAGTTTCAGATAATGAGGGTAATCAAACAAAACGTGTAATAAAAATTCTAGAACTATTATGTAGTAATAACATAGAAAAGAACCTAATATATCAGCTTGAGCTTGAATGACTTCGTAATGGGCCTTTTCAGCAGCCACCTCAGCAAGACGCGCTTGTTCCTGGTTTTTCATCAGCTCAAAGACCTAACCCAGAAAGAACACAACAGTTTAAAGCAATAAAAAGCTAGGAAGTTGGATTTCACATCATTCACCAGCAGAAACAAAATTTCATCGAACACTGCCAATGGGGGAACTATTAAGCAAAAACGAAACGAATTAAGCAAAAAAAATGAAGCAGCACCTTCTTAGCATTTGGGAAACTACTAATTTCTCGGCGAGCTTTAGCGCCTCTTTCCAATGCTTCAGCATCAAATCCAGACTTACTCGGCTCCTCAACGGCGGGTTTAGCGTCCGATTTCTCATCAGAAGACTTATCCTCCTGAGAGGTATGAGAAGAAGAGAAAGGCGAAAAGCGAAAGGGAGAGTCGGCGTAGGTGCGATTGGCGATCGTCGGCAATGACGCAGCAGCTGCAGCCATAGCTACGCCGGCGGATAATCTAGAGACAGCCATAAATTCAACAAAAATAGAAGCTCTGAAAATTCCGCTTGCATAAATTACTGATAACGAAACCGCTTTAATGCCACCAGAAAATAAGAGTTGACTTGTTGATCAAGTAAGAACATGGTTAGGTTGACAGGGCTTTGATGTCTGGTGCCGAGGTTTAAACCTCCGTCTTCTTGCAGTTGCAGAGCCATAGGGTTTAAGAGAGAAAGGGCCAGAAATGGGTCGCCCATAGAACAGCAGAATAAAAATAAGGGCCCAAAAGAAAATTTAGCGGGAGCGTAGATCTCCAATAAAATAATAAATAATCCCATTAATATTAATAAATATAAATATATATATTAAATCATGCAAAATACTTTTTAAACTTCATAGGCCTAAGTTTTATTTTTATTTTAACTCGAGAACATTAAAATCATTCTAAAAATAATATTTGAAATTGAAGAATTTGTCATTATTTACAATATCATTTGATGTAACAATTAATGGGTAAAATTTTGATTTTGTGAATTTTATTTTAAAAAAATGATTAAAATATATTTTTTTAAAATATGCCTTAATTATTTACTTTTAATTAATTAATTAAGTTAGGTTGACGAGAGCATATTTTGAAAAGTCTAAAGAGGAGAATCAATATTAAGGGATAAACTTTGGGTATCAATAATATGCTTTTGTGCCATATTTTTATAATATGGATTTTACAAATTACAATATATTATATTAGGTGAGTTATTGTTAATAACCATAATAATAATAATAATAATAATAATAATAATAAAATGAAAGTATTATCTTCACATATAGTCCACAACTCTAATGTATTGATTCAACTAAGTATAGCAGACCTAGTAATTAAGGCATTAGTAAGGCAATCGCGATTCGGTTAGTCACCACAATATTTGAATTTTAATAGTAATACTAAAGATAAAAGGGTGGCTAAGCTTCGGCTGATTTTAAGCTCTTTGGTGGGAAGTTTCCAGTAACAGGGAGATAGTAAAATTATAAGACAATCTCAGATCAACAGATATTGGTAACGCGTTCATCGAGTTCAGCCCCATAACTTGTACTTGTGAATTGCTGTGTGCAATGCTTTACCTTCCAGTTCATAAGGCTTTCAAATCAAAGAGGCAAAGTTCTGATAAGAGGCCTGAACTCTCTCTATTCTGAATCACTGAGAATCCGATGGATTGCTATTCACATGCTGGTTTGGTGTCGAAGCTACTCAAGCAGATTGCGAATGCTTGGAAGGTGGAGAGCGGGTAGCGATAATCCATTGTGAAGATGTCCTTTCCAATTTTCCCAAACTGCAATATTATCTTCTCTTGTTCTTCAACCGACACATTGAGGGCAGGATCTACATCGACCACGAGTTGAAAGTTTTTTACAGAAGCTACTGTCACACGTCCTCTGAAGTTCAAGCACCAGCATCGAAGCTGTTCGTGCCATCTAGGAGCCTTGTTCTTGAGAACCAAGGATTCTCCCAAATCTTGAACCTGTGCACCTTGGATGCATGTGGAACTTGCCTCTGTCTCTGGCTCCTTTCCTTTAGAAGCTGGTAGAGGAGAGCATTGGTCATCGACACAGGCCGTGAATGACATTGGTGTCGGTGCATTTCCTCCCTGTTGAATGCAAGATACAGGGATTGAGTGCATGGCACAGTGCATTCTTCTGGGCCCTCTAGTGCGTAGAACATTAAGCTCATAAGAGATTGCCCCTGTAGTGTAGTTACAAGCTGACATTCTTGGAGAGACTTGCTTGGCATGAAATGAACGGGTTGATTGATTATTCTGTTGCACTACAGGGAGAACTGGCGGTTGAGTATCATACATGGTGAACTTTGTGCCAAAGAAGTTGGACCTGCAATATTTTGCAAATGAAATGTTGAGACATCAATACGAGGTTATCGGATAAACAAAAATAGTCGATCGAGAACGAAACGCTTGCCTTAATTTGCCTACATAGGTACTGTGGGTCCAGGAAAAATCATCAGCAACCAGTGATATGACAAAATCTGTACCTGTAGCCCTTCTTACTCTCTTAGCTGCTAATAAGAGTTTATCACTTTCATTCTCCGCTGTCAATTCAATAATATTATCATTTAAGTGAAAACCACATAGAACATCATGATAGTTCGTTAATGCATTAGAAATTAAAACTATCTTTTCCCATAAGCTGGGAGATTAAACTGGAAAGTGCAGAAGCAGTAAAGAAGTTCATAACTCAGAACTCAGAAGGATGCATGTATAGAATGCAAATCATATTCAAATATCAACAAGATGATCAAATAAGGTGTGGTATATCAAACATGGACCATCTCATGAGCCTAACCTTGTTCTTTTCAAAGTTAATTAGGAATAAGAATACAAGTAGAAAAAGGGAACGTCACCTACAAGGCACCAATCCGGAGTATAGACGATAGGTCGAAGTTGCTCGGTGCCTTCTAACATAGCATTGAATTGGGGAGTCTCGAGGTCCCGGCTTCGCAAGAGCAACAATGGCAAGTGTAAGTTGAAGCATAAACTTATCAAAAGAAATCAATGAAAGTAAGCCCTTTACCTGTTTCAGTGAAATGGGAAACGTGAGCCTCCCACACTGCTCAGGAGTTTTGACAACTTCCTTCGTAATGTTTCTCCATGACTTGCACACTGAAGCACAAAACAGGACAGCAGTCCTAGCAGGCCACGAGGTTTCACTCTCTTCTACTCTTCGAATTATGTCCAAAAGCAACTCAGGAGGCAAATTTGCCCACTGGCCTTGCTGAATTGCTTCAGGCTGAGGAGGCACTTCATCAGGTGCAATATGTGACCTGGTTCGACTTCGCCAGTTCCTTCCTTCTCCCCCTCGCTTCGGTTTGATTGTGAGTCCGTCTTTGATTTCCCATAGCTCGCGAAAAAAGCTTTTGAAGGACATAATTGTGTGGCATATCAATCCTTTCTGCAGAAATTCAACCCCAACTCACTCACATAAACAAACTAGTAAGCAGTAAGCACAGGGAGATTAATCTAAAAACCAACCACACAGATTAGATGCTTTAAGTCATAATATAAAATTCAATTGGCAGTGTTGATAAAGAATCATTTTCGGAGTATGATAATAAAAAATTGCAGCAGATACTTCGAATCCTTTCTTTCTGCTGAATAAGAAACCAATAAACAGATCAACATTCCATCATCCTTGTCAAAATAAAAAATTAGAGGCACGCATATGTCATCAGCGACCACAAAACTCTAAAAAAACAAAAAAGAAGAAGATTGACGAAAAATCAGTACCAAAATTCCCTATCTAAAACGTCAAGAATAATCTCACATGGAACCCTAACATTCCCACAAAAGATTCCTGGTTCCATTACTGAAGTCCAGAAACAACCGAATAGATCATTCACAAAACCTGAAAAGAATATTTTCGAAAACTAAGCATCATAACTTTGCAACGTAACTAGTTAGTAGACAGGCATGGGGGAAACGAAAGAATCAGGAATGTTGAAACGGAAAAGCCCTAATGTAGAACACGCTTCAGAAACCAAAGAAACAGAAACAGAAACAGAAAACACAAACAATAAATTAATGCAGTGAGATTGATAAGAGGAATCAACCTATTCAAGAATGGTAAAGATCACGAACATCAAGGAGATAGAGAACAAGCTTAAATCCAACACCAGTGAAGAACAATCGTAAAAACCAGAATCCCGAGACGACGTTAAATCAAATTAAGAAAACGATTCGAAACTCAACGCTACTCCACGAATGAACGATTTAAGCAATGCGTAAACTTGAAGACGGTGATTCCACCATCAAGAAACTAAAAGTGAAAAACATCAGAAACCAGAGCTTCGTTCGGCTTCAAAGCCATTTTTGTTGGCTCTAAAAAAATTAGTTATATAAAAATCTCAATCAACATTCAACAGTGAGAAGAAGAAGCTTGACGTCAAATCAATTTGGGAGCGAATCTAGGGCGTGATCGATCACTCTCACGACCTCAAGGACACTGCTTTTCGGACACGTGTTTCTCACGTTTGGGATTTTCTGATCATCATTGTTCATTAATTTTTTTTTTTTTTTTTTTGAGTCACACAGCCTAATAGCTTTTATTTGTACAGAATGGATTATTCCATTTGAACCTTCAATTTATAGGATATATAATGGCCAATAGTATCTGAGCTACTCATATTGTGAAAATATAAATATACAATATGGTCTAGCGTTTACTTAATTCTGAGTCAACGTAACAAAAGGGTTGAGCAGTAAGAAAAGTATATTTTAAAAAAATATATAAATAAAAATAAAACGGCGTCGTCTTCATCTAGCAAATGAAAGACGCGTACTTCGAGCGCGCCATTTCGATCGCCATTTCCTTTAAAAACCCTTCTCCTTTTCTGTTTTCATTCAGTTTTCGATCTCCATTTTAAAAAATCTCTCCTCCGCCGTGACTATCAAGTTACTCTCCCCAGGTCATCTAACAACCAAATGGCCGCCGCTACTGGTGCAGCTCCTCGCTGGATCCCGAAGCGTGGCCAAGTCCTCCGCCGTATTCTGAAGAAGCTGTTCTTCCTCTGCTTCTGTTCCTCTCCTCCGCCACCCTCCGCCCGTCGCGTTTTTCCTTGAGTTTTAATTTAAACTCTATCTCTCCCTTTCAATGATGGTCGAAGTGGTTGAGATCAGATATACACGAGAATTTGGATTCCTAATTTTGTATTATGGTTCTTTTTGTTGTGTGTTTTGAAATTGTTAGCTTCTTATGTTGTTTTTGCATCATGTGATATTGTAGTTTAGTTTATTTCTGCGATAAAATGGCTTGATTGATTGAACGATCTTTTTGCACCATGCATTTCAATCATGAAATTAGGTTAACCTATTTCCAATTAGATTCAGAGGATGAAATTAGGCGCGGGGGAGGAATTGTTCTTGAGAATAGGTGGGGATTAAGAACGTTAGGGCCAAATGCACTTCCGGCGACCAAATTGAGACAATTTGGTCGTGATTCTCCAAATTTTCCGGTCAATCGGAGAAGGAATTTTCCGGAAGGCCGACTTGGAGGCGTTTGTTCAGTATTTACTTTTAAAATGAAAAAAAAAACTTATTTATTCAAAATTACGGCACCGGTAATTATTTATTTAAATATATATAAATATATTAGTATTATTGCTTTATTAATTAATCTATTGAAGTTATTTATAATCTTGCCCTAATTAATCTTTATAAAATAAATACAAAATATAAATAACATTTGAATGCCTAAACAAAATATAAATATTATTTACATACATGAAATAAAATTCGATAATATTCTCATCAAATACAATTATTTTTTATTCTCAAACATTATATTTTAATAAATCATATTTTAAACAAAACTTTAATTCTTAACAATTTGTAATTAATTATATGGCGTTGAGGAATGAGTTCTAAATTTCATGTTTAATAAATGTGATGTCATTATCTACCCGTTAACACTTTGTCATTGAAAACTTTCTGACGTTGCTAATATATATTGAATCCTTGAACTTTTTGTTCTGGATTTTCCTTCTTCTAGAATTGGTATGCGAGAATTGATTGGTGGACTCGAGTTTTAAATGATTTCAATTTTGAAAAGTGTTTGGTTTCTTTTTCAAAGGTGCAAATAATACTTTTGGAATTTATGTTTTAAAATACCATGAATGAGGGATTTTTTTGGATTCTGCTGCCTTTTCGTTTTGGTCAATAAATCAAGATAAAAATTCACCTTCAATAAACTTTTTTTTTTATTTAATTATTCCTTTTAAACAAACATTTAAACTTATATGAATTGAAAATGTTCAAAAGAAGGAAAAAAAAAAGAGACTAAATTATATAAATAGAACTCATAAATTTTATTATCCGACATTTTAAGTCGATATCGGTGTAAAATTGATTAAAAAAAATTAAAGTTAATACAACTCGACTCTTAATACACCATTTTGTTTGATACCCGAGTCGCTATGACTACACCTTCTCGTTGCAAGTTATTTATTCGATATTTGAGGAAGTTAAGATAAGGACATGATTCTAATATCATACCGGACATTTATATTAGCATGATAGTGTATACTTCTATCTTGTTTTTATTATTATTATTATTATTATTTTTTACTTTTTTTGGGAAAATAAAAAACTAACAAAAAGAAATAAATAAACTAACAGACAGATAGTGGTTGCCAAAGACGAAGCATCGTAGCGGCACACTCTTCGGAACATGCAGTGTTTGGACTGGAGCAGCAGAAGCGAAGAACACCCAATGAACGCCTGAAGTGAAAGGAAGTTCCAGAATTATCCCGCGTTCATCAGCGATGGCCGCCATTATTTCCGTTCACAATTCTTTCATCAATACTCCAACTCTTTGCCATATTTCACATTCTACAGCCGCGGCCACCATGGCCAAGGAGAATAAAGACAATCTCTGGAGAGGATCGGCAAAGACAAGGCCTAATTACTTATTTTCTCAAAAACCAGCTTAGATATTTCAGGTAAACCACTCCAGATTTGAGAGCTGTATGTAATCACGCACCAGTTTCCCTATTTTGTTTTATTCGGTTCAAAGAATTATTGTCATCGTCGCCATCGATGAAATCTCCCTCGTGTTCATCAATATTTTGGAATTTAGCATCCATCCAATTTTCTCTTGAAGGAATCGTTTTAGTTCCTCTAATCTTTTTCTTAATATTTTATCGTTTATCACATTGACGATCCAGCGGCAAAGGATTCTTATATTTCCCAATAGCTCTGAAACCTTTCCCCTCAACTGATTGTTCGATGAAGACCGTTGCTCTGAATTAGGGCTTCGGAACGATCATCGCAACTCGACAGAGTCCAAGTGTCCAGCTCTGAATCTAATGAAGCAGAGGAAGGATGGATATGAACCGTCTGATACGGAGACAGAATGGCAAGAGAGCCCTTGGAATGACCCTAAGGCGAAGAAACTTGTACTGGATTACAATAACCGACGAGCAGATTCGGCAGCATCGAAGAAGTTCAGTACTGCAGCGAATATTTCTCCTCCTGGTTCGAGAAGAAACAATGGCAAAACGCCTCACAGGCCGGCCAAAGACGACAGTGTTCTAGTCATGCATCAGAGAAACATCAGCCCCTTGTCGAGAGCAGAAAGAAGAAGACACAAATCTCCTTTTAAAGCTGGAGCAGAGGAAATTGGAAGCTCTAGCATGAGGTCAAGAAAAGAGGAGAAGTTGACTTATTCTCATGGGAGTAACAGAATAAGTCAAAAGCCAAACCACAATAGAAGATCAGTGACTGCTCCAAGGTTGAGAACGAGAGATGAACATATGAGTGCTGTTAACGATTTATCTCAAAGGAGAGACAGAGCTGCTCCATCCTTGCAGGTCAACTCCATCCTGCACCAGTCAAAGGAGGTTTCTCAAGTGAACTCTCTTTCTGTTGGTGAAATGAACGAGATGATTGCAGATGGAAGGGTCCATAGAGGTTCGATTTTTAATGAACCGATGGTTGAAAGCACGGGGTCAATCTCGCCGGGGGACATATTCTTTTCGCGTGATGGCTTGGCTATTGGAATAAATAACAATGTCACAGGAAAGAGAAATGCATTCAAGAATTATATAAGTCCAAGGCCTAACTTTGTGTCCAAAAAGAATGATGATACTTATAATCAAGTTGAAGTAAATGCTAATGGTAGAGGGGTTACTTCTGCTGGAGCTGGTTTGTCAACGACCACAACCAATAGCGCTGCTGTAAGTAGAGAAAATAGTAGTAGAATTAGCACTGAAAGTAGTAAGATCAGTGATGTGAGTGGAAGAACAAGTGAAAGTACAAGAAGGTTTATAGCCAGTAGACGAAAGAAGAAGAACGAGATGTGGTTTTCTTGTATGAGGAATGGGCCCTGCAGGACGACGAAATCGCCCGAAAAGCGGGAGTTTGATGAAGCTACATTCATTGAAAGAGCAAATGTTGTTGAATACTTGAAACCCTTTTGGGCAGATAAGCATCGACCGGTGTCCTTAAGTGGATTCGCTTTCCATAAGCCTGAGGCGCAAACTCTCAAGCAATTAGTAAGTGTTTTCAGGTACTCTTGCATTACTTGTGCAGTTTATTGCATAGTCTTGTTCATATCCATTTCATTGAATTATTAGGTTTTACAAGACAGTTTTCCCCACATCCTGTTCAAGGGTCCGTGCGGATCTGGCAAACGAGTGCTCATTATGGCTCTTTTGCGTGAGATATATGGCGATTCATGTTGGAATGTATGTCTTTGAGCAACTGATGCAGTGACATTGAAATTCTTCTTTCTTTGGTATGAGCTTGTTTGAATTGGTTGCCTTGTTGTGTATCTTTTCAGGTTTCTCATGATTTGCGATGTTTCCAGATTCAGGTAACTGCAAATATATGGTAAAATATTAGATATGTTCTTTCTTGTAATAATATGAGCAGAGAGTTTAAACACATAACAAGTCTTGGAGCTCATCCTGATATCATAACAGGAAAGAAAACTAACGCAAGTCTTTGTTCCATTGACGTCAAGTGCTCACCATGTGGAACTAAATTTAAGCTCAGAAGCAAATGCTAAGTATGCTCTACTGGGATTGGCTAAAGAAATAGGCAGTGAATATTCCATTAATGTGGAGGCAAGAAATCTCAATCCGAAGGCTAGTTTCAAAGGTCCGATTTCGAAAACATTTCTATGGTAAAAAAACTTATAAACCTTACGCTAATCTGATTTTGTGCTCTTAATTCCAGTGGTAATCCTTTTAGATGTAGACAAAGCTGTAGAGGATATTCAACATTTGCTTAGGTGGATTATGGATGGCTATAAGGATGCCTGCAAAGTAGTACTCTGTTGTGACAACGACACAGGCATCCTTGACTCAGTGATAAGCCGCTGCAAAGTTATCAAAATTAACCCTCCAGTAACTCATGAAGTAAACACTATCTTGTTTATGTTTTTCGATATGACTTTATACTGTAAGATGAGAAATCCCGAGACCGCTATTTGAGTATTATCATGCTAAACTTTTTTGTTTTTGGCCTAATCTCCAACTTCCCAGATCATAGATGTACTTATCCAAATAGCAAAGAAGGAGGAATTTGACCTGCCTATGAACTTTGCTTCTAAGATTGCTACTAAAGCAAAGCAGAACCTGAGAAAAGCAATCATGGCGCTTGAAGCATGCAAGGCACACAAGTTAAGACATTAGCATTTAGATACTCAAATTTACTTTTACATAATCCACAAGAGCTAAAATTTTTTCCCTTTTGCAGTTATCCATTTTCTGATGACCAGCCAATCCCCATTGGATGGGAAGAGGCCGTGGTAGAACTCGCAGCTCATATCCTCGAAGACCCGACGAATCCGAGGTAAAACTCCATGTTTCTTATTATATGTCTGGTCAAGATATAGATGAAATGAGTATCGCCGATTCTTTTATGTTCTTATCAGATTACACCTAGTAAAAGAAAAAATTCAGAAGCTTCTAGTTGATTCAGTTCATCCAAAACTAATCCTCCAGGTACGGCATTTAAAGTTAGGACACTATTAGTTCATGAAATACACTCATAAAGTTGTGTCCTCCATGTACAGAAGCTCGTGGAAGAATTTCTGAAAAGAATTGAGCTGAGGTCAAGGAGGGAACTTTATTACTGGCATGCTTATTATGTTTGTTCTCTTTTTCCCCTTTTCTTTTCCAATTCAAGGCATTGTTAGGCAAGCTTGGTAACTGGGAGCTTTATCATTTGCAGAACAAGAGACTCCCAACTGAAACTGGAACAGGCGCCCTACCCAAATTGGAAGGTACAGATCAAATTGTTGTCCAACTTACTTACATATATAATCTCACAAAAATCATACGAATTTCTTCTTGCAGAATTCGTGGCAAAGTTCATGAGCATGTACAGGAAGAGCTCCACCAACCTCGTTTATGATTGACGATGTTGATGCGAGGTTATGAAAGATTGTGTTATTGGAAAAAGGAGAAACAAACTGCCTTTCATTTTGATAATAGGACGCTTTCTAGTATCCTAATCCGGAGAAATTATTATATATGGGGCAGCTTTATATTGTAGGACATCATAGAAGATGAAATCTAAAAATGAGGGGAGACAACTATAATGTGCTGGTCACGTTGAATAATTCTCTCTAGCCCGTTTATATAATTATATTTTCCACTGTGATGATTTTCTTAAATAATAATAACAATCATAAATAAATGAAATTCACCGCATGAATGTTCTCTCTCCCTCTTTCCCCATGACTTGTGACGAGTATTTATTTATTTATTTATTTTTTATTGGAGATATAAAAGGAAACGACTTGTTGTTTTTTCCTTTCCAGATTTCTTTTAAGGTTTAAAACATGTCTTAAAACTGTGAGGTTGACAACGATACGTAACAGGTCAAAGTATACAATATCTACCAGTGGTGGATTTAGACGGTTACAAATGGCATCATAGTCAATCACCAATCGGTGTGTCAGCTAAGATGTGGGGCACAAGAGGTGGATTGTAAAATACGAAACATTTTTTTATATGAAACATTTCTTATAAAGGAGTATTTTAAAACTATGAGACCATACTAACCGGTCAAAACGAATAAATATTTACAACGATGGATTTGGGTTGTTAATAAATTTTTTATCTCATATTTATTATATATTGATTTAGAAGTGCATTAAAATTTAAAATTTTGATTAAATGTCGAGATAATAAATAATTACGGCTAGCATAATTTTATTGATTTTTTTTTTTTTTTTTTTTGAGTTCTACAATTCAATTAATTAGGATATGCCCTCAAATAAATGTTAAGTTTAAAATATACACGTGCAATAGTAAATTAGTAAAATAAAATACACGGTTTTTTTAAAAAAATAAATAAATAAAAGGCAAAAATGCCAGCCTCAGCTATCAGTGGATATACCATATGCATGCCACTAGTCGCCGCCCACCAAACGCATAGAATTTGTTCTTACACGGCGAATCAGGTACACTGACGTGACGTGAAGCTTTCATACGTGGCGAGTTCCCATTGGGTGGTAGGAAGACTCAGGACTACCTTTATACGTGGCAAGATTCTACTGGGTCTTCCCCTTCATCCATACCCGAATATTGTTACTTCAAAGATCCTTTCGCAGCTTCTTCCAAAAAATTCCAGATTCGAATACGAAAACAGAGCTTTGACACGAGTCTTCATCCTGGACCGTGGGATCGACTCCAGCCACATCCAACGATCTATATTAACTCGGTGGCTTCGCCATCCCGAGATTCTCTCTTCCTCGTCTTTTCTCACCCGCTCAGCTCGGAATCGAATCTGTTGCCATATATTTGCTCGAGTCGCTTTTGTGTGTCCGATTCAAGCTTAACCTCGACGCTGCTACTCTTCTGCTACTGAGTGAGTGATTAATCGTTCAATCTTTTCCCCTTTGCTCTGTTTCTTTTGATTTGTTTCGGAGCTATTTCCGATTGTTATGTAAGCTGTAGTGATTCAGTCAATGCCCTTTGGGATAAACTCATTTCCTGATTTGTGATTGTTTTATAAGCTATTTATAGGTTTGATTTGATTTCACTATATTATCGTGCTTCGCCGCTACTGTTTTTTACTGTTGTGTTTTGATGCTACTCATTTCGGTTTTGAGCCTAAATGATTGAACCCATGGGGAAGAAAAACAGAGTTCATGTGTTCCGGGAAGGTGGAGATCGGAGAAGAAGGGTAGTTTTCTAGTTCCATTTCTTTGAAACATCCCTGTGCGTGTGTTTTTCGTTGGATTACATTTTTTTAATCTAACTTGTTAGGATTCGATTAGTTGAGAATAATTTCATAATCTAATATATTAGTGTTCCTACCCGATTTTACTTTTAATGAATACCCAATAATCTTGCCTTGTTCCTTATTCTCTTTCTTTTTGTGGGGTATGAATCCTTTCGGATGTGTTTATTGGTTATCTTTTGATCTTTCCCTTAAAATAACTCAAAACTTTTGCTGCAAAATTATAAAATGAAAACTGTGAAGCTACTGTGCAAGGTGAATATGGAAAACAGTGCTGGAGAAGGAAATTCCGCAAATGCAGGAGTCCCTAGGATTAAGCTCAATGAAAGAATTCTTTCTTCCATGTCTCGAAGATCTGTGGCTGCTCACCCTTGGCACGATTTGGAGATCGGTATGTGTACTTTTTGTTCTTTTTCAGAAGATTCTTCTACTGAATGTGCAAGGACTTCAGCTGAGCTTGTTTACTTCTTGAGTAGTAATGCTTGAATTTGTGATTTCAGGACCCGGTGCGCCGTTGGTTTTCAATTGTGTAAGGTTTTCGTGTTTATTTAAGGCTTACAGTGCTAGATTGTTGAAAAGATTTGGAAAGAAAAAATAAGAACTGGTTGGAAAGTGTCAAGGAGATTGGTTGTTTGAGCTAGTTGCTCTGAGATTTATTATGATGAGTTGCCAATTATTGAAACTTCAAACTGATTATTACTATGTATGGACAGGTTATAGAAATTAGCAAAGGCAGCAAGGTCAAATATGAGCTTGACAAAGCCAGTGGCCTTATAAAAGTGTGTTCATCTCCTCTCTATCTGTTCTTTGCCTTTCTGCTTATTTTGATGCAGTAATGGCTACTTTTTAAGCAGTATTATAATAAAGCTTGCTTTGCTGCATTGTTTCATGTTCCTGAGTTTGATGGCCTCTCATTTAGAAACTCTTAGAGAAGTATTTCAAAATCTTTTGACCTTTTGCTCGTAAACAACGACGATCTGGTTTAGAACACCATAGATCATTGAAGATGCTTTCTTGTACTAAGTCTTCTCTACTATCAGACATTGTTATTTGTAATCAGTCATTGTTTTGTCGATCATTGGAACAGTCCAAGCTTACTATGGGTAGATATTGTCTTCTTCCGACTTTTTCTCTCAAGATTTTAGAGCGCATCTGCTGGGAAGAGTTGGGTTTTTCCTAGGTTCCCCTCAAGGTTTTATGTTTGCTAGGAGAGGTTTCCACACCCTTATAATAAATGTTTTGTTCCCCTTTCTAACCGATGTGGGATCCCACAATCCACCCCTTCGGACATCAGTGTCCTCGCTGTCACACCAGCTCTGATACCATTTGATACCATTTGTATCAGTGTCCTGGGTTTATGCTATCTTGAATGTAGGCATTTTCAATTTGTTCATGGAGAAGATGACCCGTGTTTCAAATTTGTGGAAACAGGTCGACCGTGTACTTTACTCATCAGTTGTTTACCCACACAACTATGGTTTCATCCCGCGTACAATCTGTGAAGACAGTGATCCTATGGATGTTCTGGTACTGATGCAGGTAAAATCCAATGAAGTTTAAGAGAATTAATTATCTCTAGTTATGAGTTGATATCTTTATTGTTCTTCTGCTTCTCTGTGGCACAGGAGCCTGTGCTCCCTGGATCTTTCCTCCGAGCTCGTGCTATTGGATTGATGCCCATGATTGATCAAGTATACGGCCCCCAACTTTCTTCTGAACAGTTACCAAAGTCCTGTAAACAACCCAGGATTTCTTTTCCCTCTTTAAGCTAACCATTGCAGTTACCATGGTGCAGGGAGAAAGGGATGACAAAATCATAGCAGTATGTGCTGACGACCCAGAATTCCGCCATTACAAGGACATCAAGGAGATTCCCCCGCACCGGTTGGCTGAAATTCGCCGATTCTTCGAAGACTGTATCCTCTTAAAACACATTCACATTTGAATCCATATATTATGGTTTATGAAAGCATTTTGTTGGTTTTTCCTTGACATCTCTTGAACCAAAAAGACAAGAAGAACGAGAACAAGAAAGTGGACGTTGAAGACTTCCTGCCAGCTGAAGCTGCCAGTGATGCCGTCAAGTACTCCATGTAAGCTTCCATCTAACCCTTCTGCAACTTTCTCACTTTCTATTCCCCTTCTCGGTTGAACTCAGAAAAACTAGCACTCTTTATTAACACCAATCGAAAAGAGATTACAAGACACTCTTTCTTTATTAACACCAATCGAGAAGAGATTACAAGACACTCTGTAGAAACTACTCATGAAACGTAAATAAGGTGAAGGGTATTTATAATGCTATTTTCTTGAGATGAAAAACTAGATAGAGTAGGGGAGATGTATTTACCGATATCTTTCTTCTTAAAATATTTAGATATCTTTATTTTTTAATTATCTAAATGATTTTAACATAACTCACTCGTGATGTTCCTTTTGTAGGGATCTGTATGCTGCTTACATAGTTGAAAGCTTGAGGCAGTAAGTTTTTTTGCTTCTTCCCCTGTTCTTATCCAATAACAGACTGGCTATTAGACCAGTTAGCAGCCTACGTAACGAGGCTGCTGTTAAACGTTGTATAAATGGGCCTTGATGTCGGCCCAATAGTGAAATTTGGACAATATTGGCGGCGTGGCCCAAAATGACCAAGTCTATTTCAAGCTTGTTCTAATCATTATTGCACCTTTAATCCCAACATGGCCTGCAGTTTTTTTAGGCTGCTATTATTTGAATTAATCATTCCTCTTTATCTTTAAGCAACCATTTTCTTCCCCAGTCTTATATATATTTTTTATATTATATAATTATATAAAATTATTATTTTAAATAACCTGCCATCCACTAATCTTTTCAAACCAAAAAAAAAAAAAAAAAAACAATTTTTCATTAATAAATTTTTGTTTTTGGTTTTTTTTAATAATTTAGGGGATTATAATTGGACAGCTAAAAAACAACCAAATCCCGTTTCATTTCATGATTGGATAACTGACAGGATTAGATTACGATTGAAAATGACGATAATTTCAATTAATTAAACTATAAATATTAAATAAATAATTAGAAATATGAGCTGAGCTGAGGTGGAAAATGCAAGTCAATGCCACAGGTAAAAGCTGCAGCTTTGACTTTTGTCTTTTAAATTTCAAAATTCCCATCACTGTTTTTCCAAAATTCTATAATTCATTTTATTATTATTATTATTATTATTAATTTTTCTTTTATATCACATCCTTACAATTGTTTTATTATAAATATATACTAATATCTTAATTTGAATCTACACTAAATAAATAAATATATTAATGAATTGAAAGAAGTAGATATACATACATACATATAAATAAATAAATATATATATATATATATATGATATTACACGTCTAGGATTTAAAATTAATTT